TACAAATACATAAGCTTAAGTTTGTATACTTTATATGCATATACACTTTAAAAAAAAATGGTTCTTTAGTGGTTCTATATAGAACCATGAACACTTAAAGAACTCTTTGCATGCTTAAATGTTTTTTGCATGGTGAAACGGTTCTTCAGATTGATGGAAAAAATGTTGTATATGGTTCTATATAGCACCAAAAAGAATTCTGCTATTGTTACTATGTCAAGCTCGTAGCAATAAAAAAAAGGTTTTTAAAAAGGTTATATGTAGAACCATTTTACCATCCAAATAACAATTTAAGCATGCAAATGGTTCTTTGAGTGTTCGTGGTTCTACACAGAACAAACTAAGAGTGTAGTTTATATACTTTATATACTTTTAAGTATATTTGATACATATGGCGGATATAGCATATAAGTGCTTGCATATAATTTATGTAAATATGGCATTTTTCTGCAAGTGTTGGTAAACATTATCTATGCTATTTATTTGCTTTGCTTAAGTTTCTGTTGAGGGGGAAACAGCATTTAAAATATGCCTTAACTTACAAGCAGTTATTGTGCATAAAAATGAAGATGACGTGTTAACCCGTTGTCCCTTGACTCTCTAAGCCTACGTACTGACACTGTATAAGAGCAAACCTCTGTTTGTGCCTTTTGTGCCGTGTAAGCGTGTTTAGCTCCGTGCCCTCACTCTCTCTGCTGTCGAGAAGCTGGAGGTGCCCCTGTGTTGGTCAAGAAGAATCGCAGACCTCATACGTTTGTGTGTACGAGTGTGTATGTGCCATTACTGCTGAGCGGAGGAACAAAGATAGCTGATTTCAATTCAATTAAGCGGGCTGACGTGTGCTGTTAGCCTGCGAGTGTGTGCGTGTGGGAGGGGGATGCAGGCTGATTGAATTTGCCTGGTGACTTCCTCGCGCTGAGGGCAAACTGGGTTAATGGATTTGCAGACATTCAGGAATGTAAATTAGAGAAGATATAATCCGTAATCCTCCCGCATTCAGCCCTCCACTGCAGCCCAGAGACAATATTATTGAAAGCCCCTCTGCCTGCTGCTCTGGCTGCCCCCCGCCCCTCTTCTCCAGTGCACTGGATGACCATATGCTGTGTGATGGAGGGGCTGCAGGGGGCACTTCACCCTGACAGCTCTCAGCTCAGCGGCCCTGCACTTCACCCCGCCTGATAGACCACGGTTAACCTTTGTGGGATCTGACTGCGGAGCACTCTGCAGGAGGCAGAACTCCTCTCGGGGTAGAGCTGCTCCTGGATCAGGGTTTATTTATTTTAACCCCTTAAATGAAAGATTTATTATTCAGAGGACTTTGTAAATAAAAAAAAAGGGTTAAAAAGGGTTACAAATCTATATAAGCATGTCTGTTTGTGACTATAACTTGACGCAGTTTGAGGCAAGTGTGATAATTAAGGTGTGTAGTTTGCACCGTGCTAATTGGTGGAGTATAAGCTTCCATTACTTTTTGAATTACTACATAATTTAATGTATAGCCAAACCATCATTTTTTGACTTATTCAGTAGCTGCTGTAAGTTATTCAGTTATGAAACATATGCTCATTATGTAGAGTGAGGAACTGAAATGTAGAATTAATGAGGTTAAGATTACCAAAATTTTGCTATTATACAAAATGTTGTTGCTTAAAATAATACTCGAGATGTGCATTTTGACTGATTTTGATATTTGAGGATTCGAAAGTGTTAATGAACGGGTAACTTATTAGCTGCACGGCTGGAAAAAACATGGAAAAATTGTTTGGGAATTGCTGGTTTGTATATGTTCTCTCGTTTCATGATATAATGAAATTAATACCGGAATAATTTTAGTATTCGAATACTGGCATCTCAAACACTTATCAGACTACTCACGTACCCAAGCACATCCCTAAATAGTACAATCAAAAATTTCTTGGTAATGACCATTTGGCTCCAAATGATCACATTGATCATGGATCACAACTTTTATAATTGTTAGTTGTGATAAATGCATCTTATTATAATAATATGTACAAGATGTTCGGCCATGTTTTCTAGCGAACGCATGAGCTGCAGTGATTCAAACTGGTGTCGGATGTTTCACTTCATTTTTAGATCTCATTTAAAAATATCTGTAATTTAATGTGCGTATAAGCAGGCAGATGCTCTCGATCAGCGCTCTTTAGTCTTAGAGTGTTTTTGAAGTCGTAGCTCAGCCACGATGAGCTAAAGCCAGAGAATCCTTTCCAACCCACCATCAAAACAGCCTACATGGTAACCAGCACCCAATCATAGCAGGCCTGTCCTTCATTGGCACGTGATTGGTTCTCCCTTAGTGCCATTTGTAAACTCCCTTGCTTTTCTTTATCCCATAAAAAGAACAAGAGAGAGAGAGGTCTATAAGTAGACAGTTTTTGGTTGTAATTATGTCTGTGCATGGTTTAAAACTGACAATCATAATGGACGCCTTCACCCTTAATTATGATTTGTGTCAGCTAGTGAAGAATATGAAAGCACGTATAATTGGAGCTTGGGGAAGGCCTGGCTTTTATTTTCTTCTCTGTCTGGGAGCTGACAGCCTTGGAGCCGGTGCCAGAGAGAGCGAGTGAGCAAGAAAGCAGCAAAAAAAAAGGAGAAACGGGCGGCGAATGGCGCTTATAAATCTGGTTAAATCTAGTCGGTGGTGTCGCAGCGGCTGGCTCCAACAGCTCCTGTTCCGGTGCCCTACCCAGCCTCCCCTGGGGCAGGGTATAAACACTGAGGGCGTCTGTGACAGATTACAGGATGGCAACATCCTGGGTTAAGTTTCCTCACTGGAGCCTGGAGCTTTAATCAGGCTTAAAATTTCGGTCCAAACTCAAATATAACCCATGGACATTCTGGCCAAGTCTGACGTGACGCACAGCTCTTTTGAATTCAGACCTGGCTGTAGTAATTTTGTTGTACATGTTATTGTAGCCTGAATCTGACTGTACTTCAAACAAAATTCTGTCCCAACATGATTGCATATAACTAAAATTCTGTCTGAATCCAACTGCAGCGTGACAAAATTTTGTCTGAACCTGACTGCAACTCGACAAGATTCTGTCTGAAATTCCACTACAGCCTGACAAAATTGTCTGAAATTCCACTTAACCCTGACAAAATTGTCTGAACTCGACTACAGCCTGACTAAATTCTGTCTGAACTCGACTACAGCCTGACTAAATTCTGTCTGAACACGACTACAGCCTGACTAAATTCTGTCTGAAACTCCACTACAGCCTGACTAAATTCTGTCTGAATTCAACTATAGCCTGACTAAACCCGACTACAACACGACAAATTCAGTTCAAACCCAACATTTTAACCCATTTATTCCTCACTCAGTACCTTCTTGTTGTTTTCGTGCTGGCCAGTATGAGTGGCCCCCATGTGAACAGGCAGGTCTCTGTGGGTTCTGATAAATATTTCAAGCCTTAGTGTCTGTGACAGATTACAGGATGGCAGCACCCTTCCTCAGTGTGACCTGGCTGCTGGCCATAGAAGCAATGCCCCCTTCTGCATTGCACCTTTTTCCCTGCTGGGCCCCCCCCTGCTGCTCTACAGGCCTGAGAGCATTTGGCCCTTTGACCCCTTGCCCCACTCGGAGCAGGAGCGCAAAGTAATAACAGCCATTTTCTTAATGAGTCATTTAGAGCTGATTGTAAGCGGCCCTTCTTTGTTTGTTTGCTCCGTTGTTCACCCTTTGCTTGTCACTTGAGGAATTAAGTTGTTTAAAAAGGTGAAAAGCTGATACAGATGTCTGTGTCTCTCTCTCTCTCTCTCTCTCTGTCTCTCTCTCTCTCTCTCTCTGTCTCTCTCTCTGTCTGTCTCTCTCTCTCTCATATGTGCACATCTGTGCACTCGCACACTACATTGAGCACAATGAGAAACAGTAGTTTTTTCCATGTACTGTTGTGTTGGCCTGGTTGCCTAAAGCAAAAAGGCTTTTTGATGTGCTGTTGTCCATTTTTATGGATAATAGTTCGCTGTACAGTGTCTGAAAGCACATAAGCAAGTCTGTTAGAGATTACTGAACAACTCTACACGGTTTGAAGCAAATGTGGTGATGATTTAGGCTGCGTTTGGCACACAGTGCTAAATGATGAGCTTCCACTACTAAGGCTACATTAGCCCAATACTCCAGTACAAAACCAAAGAAGCAAACTTCAGTCTCCAAACATATCTTACCTGATTGAATACATTTGGGCTAAGGAGGGGAAATGGAGTAAATTGGAATTTATAAGCCATAAATCGTACTCTGTGCCTGCTCTGTTTTTTTCTGTTTTCTCTGTTTGGACATGTTTACAGGAAACGTACATTTTAGGCTATAAACGCTTTCTCTTTGGTGCTCCCCTAAGGGGTACCATATTCTATTGCACCATTTTATATTTTTCAGTTTGCAGCACTGACTCCATATTTTCAGTTTGCATTCACTCCACACACCCTGTTTTGACTCCAGGCTTTTCAATTTTATTTTTGTTACTATTTAAGCACTTAGGTACAGATGGTGAAGTGAATGTAGTGCAAACTCGTATTTGGACCTTGAGGGCCATGTTCTACTTTTGAGTGTACATAGTTTGAACCTTGGACCACAAAAAAATCGACCATTTTTTTTTCTTTTGGGCAGTGCATCAAACTGTCCTTGTTTGAGTTCTTTGTTCAGGCCAGTTGATGCCATCCACTGTGGCGATCTCTCTCCCTGTGAAGCTACAGTGTTTTACAGTGCTCCAGTTCTTTTTGTCAGTGCAGTAACTCTTAATTCTCCTGCTCCCCCTCACTCCACAGGCTCTCAGTAATAATGACCACTTCAATCAGGGGGTATGCATAGCGAACTGTTCCCACATATGATTGATCTTTTTATCCACATCTACTGGTCGAGATAAAATGTGATTTCTAAAGATAAATCCATTAAGCTTGCTGTTAGTGCAGTGACATGATCCACCCTCTGATTAATGTCCAACTAATCCCAGCCTTTACTGTACCTTCAATTTCAGGTTTTTCTGCGTGGCAAAATGAAGGTTAGTTGCACTTACACACTTTTAAATTACTTGAATTATTAATTTTTTTATAAAGAAAGTTATCATAAATTGTGTTTGTGCTCTGGACTTGTTACATTTGAGATTGTTCAGTGTGTATCAGCCTCATTATAATGATAATCGTATTAGAATAAAGTGTGTATATACACTTTAAGCTGCTTCATCAAAAGCTGGAATTTTTGAGTGGGTTTAGAATGGATGTTTGGGTGATACAGATGGAGACACACTGGGCTTGGCTGAAGAGAAAAAAGGCCTGTAATTACAACGGCCATTAAAACTGCCTCCATCTTACCGCAGCTGTGGTAATGTGTGGTGATACAGAAGCTCTTTAGCTTGTATTATATTAGACTGTGCTTAAGCTTCATAGTCGGCCTATTGTTTTCTGCGACCTGTGACCATTGACCTTACAGCCTTGGCTCTGACCCTAAAGGTCACACTCTGACTTTGTGCACTCGTTGACCTGCAGATGGATGTTCTAAACTAGCTGTCAGGCCGTGTGGTCTTTATTCTGTATTCTATCATCAGCCGTGTAAGATTTTTCAGTAAGTTTTACCTTGCTAGGTCTTGTGCTGGCATGGTCAGAAAACGGCCACTTTCTTGAGCTGCTGATTTCGGAATGTGTGCTGCCACGCCCTCCATCAGCACAGGAGCCATCAGTGGAGTGCAGCCATGCATATGAACTGTGTGGAGAGCTCCTCACATGTCCTGCTTATTGTTTATTCATGAGTGTCCTCAGGAACACGGCCCAAAGTGCTACTGGGACAGGATTAGTTTTACACGGGGAGGTAGGGTAATGTTATTTTACCACAGGATGCCTGTAATGTTAGGACTGATTCATCCCGGATAAGAAATCTCAGTATAAACTGCAGAGATGAGAACGGCTATTTGATTTTTGCACTGCCATTACACCAAAACAATTATATACACAGTACGTTCACCTGCTCCCAAGTGTTCAAACATTTAATGTAGTTACAATTTCATTTACCTGACTGTCTTTCATTTGCTTTATCATTAGCTTGAGAATTTACAACCAAAAGTCAGCGTCACTGCTTAAAACATGTTTCTTCCATTTTTTGTGTTTTAATGTTTGAAGGCATAATCATGAGGTAGGACAATACATACTGGCCAGTCTTGGGGAGTGCCTCCACACTGACATAGCAGTTTGCATGGGATTAATTAATATGAACCTGAGTTTTTTTTCTGTGGTTTGTTTTATAGCAGTGGATTAATACAGCCTGCCTTTTTTCAATGCTTTGTTTTATAGCAGTGGATTAATATAACCTGTAGTTATTTCTACAATTTGTTTTTTTGCACAGAATTAGTATGACCTGATGCCATTTCTGTGGTTGGTTATAACCTTGGGTTATTTGCATGGTTGATTTTTTATAGCGTGACATTAGTATAAGATGAGGTTAGTTTAGTGGTTTGTTTTTATAGTACAGGATTAATATAAACTGGAGATATTCTGTGGATTGTTTTGTAGGAGTTATTTTTACCGTTTGGTTTGTATCATGGCATTAATATTTTTCTCATTTTATAGAACAGGATTCTTATAACCTGGAGTTATTTCTACAGTTTAGTTTGAAGTGTGGGATTAATATGACCTATATTAATCTGAGGTGTTTTTTGTGGTTCGTTTTATGTTGGTATAGTAGAATATTCAGTAAAGTAGGTGCTCATTTTCTTGGCCAAAAAAAAAGATTCTCACGTTATTTATTTATTTATTTATTTATTTATTCATTTAGCTTATTGTTTTAGTTTTTTGTAATGGCATTATTAAATAGATGTTTAGAGACTTTATAGATTGATGTGTTTATGTTCCTCCAGTTTGTATTTTCTGTGAATTTTTAAAATAGTTCTGAATCAGACCTAAATACATTGGTTGGTTGTGAGATTAGAGAATTTCACTGTAATTCATGTTTCACATCTGACGCATTAAAAGGTGATCCATATAGAGCAGACTGTTAGTATTGAGCAGACAGTGAGAGCTTTCATCCGCAGCCAGAGTAAACTGAGACCGCCCCGTCTTCCTTTATACTCACATAGGCACGTTCTCCCTTCCTCCTCTCTGATCTAGCATTGCTTTAACATGCCACTTCCCTTTAGCTAATCCATTGTTCTCCAATTAGCCGAGCAGATCCCAGAGCTGCCAGTCCATATGCTGGGAGAAATGTCTCATTCCCTCTGTAATTCAGTTAGGTCAGGAACACTGGGGCTAATATGAAGCGGCCCTGAAATCCTGCCTCCTGTTTTATTGTCTGGTCATTATCAAAATGTGCAGCGGCGCACGAGAGAATTAGTCTCAGCCGAGTCGACTCGATCGGCATTGTTTTATTTGCATCTGTGTTTAATGCGCTCCAGTTCCACGGTTTATTTGCTTATTTTGTTTGTCATGAATAGCCATTTGCTCTGTGATTTATGTCAGCGTGATGTGATGGAAAGCATATGTTTGAAATGACAATGCTTTTTGTTGTTTTTCGGTTGTTTGTGGGGTCATTTATGAGAAGTTTGTTAGCTGTGGATTTTTTTTTACACATTTACTATGAATATATTCACTTGATACCATGAAGGTACAGAAGAGATAAAGCCTGAGGCCCTGCTTATTCTGAACATTTGTGTTATTGTAAGAAGTTCTGACCTGTACAGTTTGCTTTGGAGAAAGAAAAACCATACTTTACATTTTGACGTTTTGTCATTGTTATTGAAAACAAAAAGGGAAATCTGGGAAACGTACATTTATGTAAGTTTAATGAATGTAGATTTAATTCATGACATAACTGTGTAATTAAAACTAAATAGGTAAATTTAATGCATAGGAAAATAATGATACCTCTAGATTTCTAAGGGTGGGTTAGTCTCAACTTTTTCTCTTTGGTTTGGCCTCATCTGTGGCTCTACCAGCTAAACAGCAAAGTTTGTGCTGAAATTACTCTCTCTCTCTTTCTCTTTCTCTCTTTCTCACTCTCTCAGGCTCACCGGCATTGCCCAGTAGCATGGCTTATTTTGGCAGTTCTCAGGATGAGGATGAGCTTGAGGATGATGAGGAATGTGAGGAACAAAAGCCACCATGCGTGGCATCGACGTCATGCCAGTCTACACCCCGTAAAGGAAAACCTCCAGGCAAGCTGAACGGACAGGGTAAGACTAGAGCACGGAGAATGTGCAGAGCCTTTCAGCTCCATATAAATATATATCATTGTGTGCACTGCTCTACATATCCGCGAAAAATAGATGTGCTGTACATGTATAGGCCTACTTTACCTTTACTCATATATACATATACTTTATATATACCGTGTCATCACAGAAGCTCATTTCATTCCACTTATTTGTGTGGCTTTATGTACACAAAACAGTCATAATTCATTTTTACATCACCATTTTCCAGCCCCTGTTTATCACTTAGAATTAAACAGTTTTAAGACTGATGTACAGTTGTATGCAAAAGTTGAGGCACCCTGGTCAAATGACGTTCTGTAGATTTTTTTTTTATTTACTTACTTATTTAATTTTTTTATTTATTTATTTTATTAATTCATTTTATTTTATTTTATTTTATTTTATCCTAATTGACTTCCCAATTCCACCCACTAGTTAGGACTCCCCCAGTCACACTCTACCACCAGCACTAGGAGGGTGAAGGCTAGGACAGGCTTCCTCCGAGACCTGTGAAGCGCCACCACACCTTTTCAAACCACCATCAATACAAAGTCATTGGACAGCTGAACACGCTTGGGTTAATGCGCCATCCGCCGTTTCTGTTAAGTCAGCCAACAGACTCCTGCGCTGACCAGCATCGCACTGAGTGATGGGGGAGAGGGGGGCCATCCTACCCACCCAGAGACAGCAAGCACAGTTGTGCTGTCTTGGGCTCCTGGCCACAGACGGCTCTAGAATCACCAGGGATCAGACTTGCGATTTCCTGATGATAGGGTTTAACCCTTATACGCACTGTAGAAGTTGCGCAAATTTTTGCGAAGAAAATCAACGAAACATCATTTGACCAGGGGAGCCCAAACTTTTGCATACAACTGTATGTAAATGACCTCTGTTCTGATTGGCAGCCTTTTATTGTCCCTCATTCAAAAGGTCAGGGCTTAAACACTCCTCGTAGCTTTATTGTCAACAGCTGTAGACGGAGTGTGTGGATATATGTAAATGCACAGGTTTTCATGACATGACAAAAACAGGCTGCTTAGTTTTTATTTGCAGACCTATTGGAGAAGAGTGAGCTGTACATTTGGAAACTTTAACCGTTTACGTACTGTGCAAATCTATACTATTTAATGAAAAAGTATGGGAATTTGATTTCCATGATAAGTGCTCTTTAATGTACATTAATGTAATGAGATCTTTTTCCAAGTAGTTTTTGAACCAGGTAATTTTCCCACTGATTTTTCTGTTTATCTGTTAATATCAATACAGCATAAAGGGCAGCTGTTGTTTTGAAATGATGCAAAAAAAAAAGAGAGGTTTTGATATGACAGTGATGAAATGTTAGTTTGCTCTGATAGGACTAAGTCATATGAATCTGATGAACTAAAATATTGATGTAAACAGTTTGGCGTGTTGTAATGCTGTGCGTCAAAGGAGAAGAGACTGGCGTCTGATTAGACGCTAAAGACGTTCTGTGTGTATTCTGCATGGAGGAGCAGTGAAATTCATGTGGGAGTGACACAATGCTTCCATCCTTCCACTCCAATTATCACTCAGTGAGAAAGGCGGTAACGAGGTGTTTATACAGTCAGCTCACACGCACACGCACACCGCTGTACACTCTACACCTGAGCACCACACAAATGCACTCAAGCACATGTTCATTCTCTCTCTCGCTCCCTCTCTCCCTCTCTCTCTCTCTCTCTCTCTCTCACTCTCTCTCTCTCTCAGTCTCTCTGGGTCTCTGGGTACGCTATTCTTTCATCAAATCTAAATTCTGTACAATTTAGGTCATGTGGTGATAAAAGCAGTAATTAGTACATTCTGAAAAAAACATGATATTTAATATTTTACCTTTGTTTAACTTTATTCTTTATTATTTACATTATTATTATTCTTTTTTCTTAAATATTCATTTCACATTTGATGCCAGCCATATAGCTTTAAATTGAAATTTTGGTCTGAATGCAACTGGAGAGTTTTCTGTCTGAAAACAATAATAGCCATCATTAGAGCACAGAAAAACAAAATATATAGGTATACATATATATTTATGTATCTATATATTATCTTGCTGTGCTGATGTAACGAGATGTTAGCCTTCACCTGTTTAATGCTAAAACTCTATTTATGTACATAAAACATTATATAGAACATATTGAACCTATAAAAATATTTTTGGCCCAATAAATGTTTTTGGCTGCTCTAAAAATGCTTTCCTGAATCAATTCACTGTATGTCCCATTTTCTCACAAGCATGGGCCTGACATAATTTGAAAATGTCTGTTGCCTTTTACATTCTGTGTAAATTTCATGATGATTGGACCAAAAGAAACAGCCTAAAATTACTTGTGAAAGTCTGGTTCCATTGCCTTACATTAAAAGTAAAGTAGGTTTTTTCCTTCTCCTGTAAAGTTTCCATTTTGGAGATGCGAGGTTTTGTTCCGACAGCAGCGATAAGTTGAATGAGTATCTTTCAACGTTAATAGTGCCTTCAGAGATGTGCAAGTTACCCACTAATAGACACACATACCATGATTGGATTTACCAGACTGGATTTTGAACTTTACACTGGTAACAGTCTGGGTGGTCCTTTTCTTCTTTGGCCCAGAGAATTTGACATCCAGTATTTCCAAAGGTTGACTTGTCAGACCACAGTACACGTTTCAGCTGTGCATCAGTCCATTTCAGATAAAGTTTACTTTGTTTTGGGACGTTGTTGACGTATGACTTCCTCTGTGTACAGTAGTCTCAACTCGCATTCGTGGACGTTTCTAGCTCTATTTCCTCTCTCTCTGTTTCTCTCTTTCACTCACACATTTCTTTGCTTTGCTTCCTCAGTATACATGAATGGATGTGCGTGTGCTGTAAGGCGGTGTGTGAGGAGTCGGAGGTGTTTGTTAATGAATCGTTTTGTTAAAAACAAAACAGTGTGTCAGTGGTAATGCAGGTTCTGATCTGACAGCTCTGTGTAATTGCTCTCTGTGTGTGTGTGTGTGTTATCAGTGGCACACACTTCACTCTGTCGCACTTAGTAACATCACACATGCTCGCTCACACACCCATCCGTCACCGTCAGAGTGCGTAGGTGTCTCTGCGGTAGATAAGAGAATTAGATCATTAGGTGATTCCCGTCTTTCGTCTTTGTGAATCAGTTCGCTGTGTTCTGACTGTGCTGTAACCGAAATTGGTAAATCAGTAGTTTTGGCGTGCTGCAGGTTTGTGGTGGCACACTGAGCACCAGCTTTCAAACAGGTTTTCCTGCACTGTCTCTCTCTCTCCTCTGTCTCTCGCTCTCACTCAACTGTCTCCCTCATCTCTATCTGCCTGACACACACAAACACGCTGATGATCACCTGATCCCTGTGTGTTCTGAGGTTTAGAGTTCCCCCTCTAGTCTTACACAGTGGGGGTCAGTCAGTCAGGTCTCCCCATCACACAATGCTACCCGGGCGGGAGGGTGAAGGTTAGCTCAAGCTTCCTCTGAGACATGAAGCTCCAACACATCTTGTTCAAACTGCCACTAAAGCATCATCAACTCAGCGTGTTTGAAGAAGAATGCTCACTGCTAATTCTGTTAAGTCAGCTAACAGACCTGATGGGGGGAGAGGGGGGGTCCATCTTACCTACTCAGACAGCGAGGGGACAGTTATGGTCTCCCGGATTCGTGGTTACGGATGGCTGTGGCATCACCAGGAATCACACTCGATAGGATCGATGCTTAAGCCAAAAATCAACATGCCTTTACTTTTTCTCTCTGTTCTTTCCTTCATCCTTTCTTTCTTCTCTCTCCGTCCTTTCTTTCATCATTTCCTTCTTCTCTCTCTGTCATTTGCTTCTTCTCTCTGTCCTTTCCGTCTTGCTATCCTTTCCTTCTCTCACTATCCTTTCCTTCGTCCTTTCTTTCTTCTCTCTGTCCTCTCCTTCTCTCTCTGTCCTTTCCATCTTTGCTTTTTCGTTTCCTTCTTCTCTGTCTGTTTTTTTCCTTCTATATGCTTTCCTCCTTCTCTCGGTCCTTTCCTTCATCCTTTCCTTCTTCTCTCTCTATCCTTTCCTTTGTCCTTTCCCTCTTCTGTCATTTCCTTCTTCTCTCTGCTCTTTCCTTCTCACTATCCTCTCTCTCTCTATCCTCTACTTCTATCCATTCCATCTTTGCTCATTTGCTCCCTTCTTCTCTGTCTGTTCTTTCGTTCTGTGTGCTTTCCTCCTTCTCTCTGTCCTTTCCTTCATTGTTTCCATACTCTCTGTGTCCTTTCCTTCTCTCTGTACCCGTTCCATCTTCTCTCTCTGTCCTTTATCTGTCTGTCCTTTCCTGCTTCTCTCTCTGTATCCTTTTTTTCCCCAGTTCACCTCCTCCCCTCTTCTCCTCCCTTGTTTCTCCCGCTGTGGAGTCAGAGTCGAGCCCTTGTATGTGCTGGCCCATGTCAAACCTGACACTTTAATATGACACACAGGCAGAACTCGTGTGTGTGTGTGTGTCTCTCTCTTCCTCTCTCTCTCTCTCTCTCTCTCTGTGTCTCTGAGTGAGAGAAACCACAGTGCTCAGCTTTCATACACTGTACCTCAGTAACCTAGCGGTGTGTTTACATTTCTAAATTAAACACCTTTTATTGAGTTCAGGCCGCAGTAGCTGCTCCAGACAAGCTCTGCAGTTAAACAGAGCTCACGTTTGGGCTTTTTCCCACACAGTCAGGTCTGTTGGTATTAAAACCCAGTAAAAATAAAGTCAGCCTATCATAAATAAAGCAAGCAGGCTGAATATGTGTTAATTAGCGTCGTTCAGGGGCCTGATTTAAGAGCGGCTCTGGCCATGACAGCAGAGAGCTGTGCAGATATGTAGTGAAGTGTTGTGCACTGGGGCCAGTTTGGCTGGAGTTAACCCTGAAACTGCAGGCCTGTTATTCAGTTATGAACCATAAGATTTATTACTTAGTAACTACCATTAAACTAATATGGAATTTATGTAGTTATGAGAGTGAGAAGTGTGGAACCAAATACAGACCCTTAGAGTTTAAGCTTGGTGCTGATGGTTGTACTTGTCCTAAGTGCATGGTAGTACGCATATCGTCAGTGTCAGACAAAAACATTGCATCTCAAAAATGGTAACTTTTCAGTTAATATAAAAAAACATTTTCTTTGTATTTTGGAGCATTTCTATTGGATGTTTATCATGATGTTTTGGCTGGTGATGTTTTGACAGCTGGTGTTTTCAAATTATGTAAAAAAAAAAAAAAATGGTAAATGACAAAAATGGACATAAAAGGTTTTGTTGTGAGAGTGATGCTGTTATGATACCTGAATTGTATCTTAATCAACAGATGATGTATTCATAGTATTCCAGAACATGGAAAGGAACCTGCACTACTTGTACTCTCATATATAGTGCAGCTAATCTGGTACTATCTGCTCTCAAAATGTATGTGACTAAGAGCATCACTTGAGAGCTTTTCAGGAAGCAGAGGAACATTCAGTTTTCACCATTTATCTTTTTTTTAGAACTAGAGAGTAAAATGGAATTAGGCATACTATTCAGCTTCTCTCCTGTTTAGTTGAAAAAAATCTTTAAATGTAGTTAATTAGTTATGTCTAGTGTCTGAATTTGCTTCTTTAGTTTTGATACGGTAGCTTATACCACACCAGTTAGCACTGTACTGAATCATTACTCACTTGCCTCAAACAGTGTACAGTTGTTAAGCTTCTGACACTGTATGACACACTGCTGTCTACATACATGGATAGAAGTACAAACCTGGTTCCAAAAGTTTGGACAGGCTGATAAATACAGAAAGCAGTGATTAGTAAATTCTGTTTGAAACCAGTGCAGTTTTACCTCATGCGCTTTGTTTTTTGTAAAAATGTGCTAATTCCAAATATGATGCCGTGCCTTGACATGTTCCAAAAAACGTTGGGACAGGGTCTTATTTATAATGGTGCACTGAAGAGTCCAACTGATCCAGTTTTGAAAGCGTGATTTTTTGCCATTCTTCGGTCATACAAGTGTTCAGTTGTGCAACCTGGGTCGTTGTTGTCATATTTTGCACTTCATAATGCATCACACACTTTTAAAAGGAAACAGGCAGGCCAGTCCAGCACCTGCACTCTGATTTTGCAGCCATATTGTAACACATGCAGAAGGTTTCTTGGCTTTGTCATGTTGAAATAAGCAGAGACTTCACTAAAAAAAAAAAAAAAGAATGCTGCTCCAAAATCTGTTTATATCTTTCAGCAATAAAGGTGCCTTCCACAGTTGTGAGAGCTACCCACTAATGAATGTACCCTCATACCATGACAGATGCTAGCTTTTAAACTTTACGCTGGTAGCAATCTGGGTGGTCTTTTTCTTCTTTGGTCCAGAGAACATGTTGTCCATTCCATAAACAGTCTGAAAGTTTGACCTCAGTACACATTCTCACTGTGCATCAGTCCATTTCAGTTAAGCTTGAGCCCAGAGAAGTCGGCGGTGTTTCTGGATATTGTTCATCAGTGTGCGTAGTACAGTCTTATCCTGCGTCTGTGGATGCAGCAACAATTTTTATTGACAGCAGTTTGTGAAAGTATTCCCAAGCCCATGCAGTGATATCCATCACAGAAACCTGCTGGTTTTTAATGCAGTGCTATCTGAGAGGTCGAAGATCATAGGCGTTAAGTTGTGGTTCTGCCCTATATGCACAGAAATTTCTCAGAGTTCCTTGAATCTTTTGATGATATTATGCACTCTAGAAAGAAAAATGCCTAAAATCCTTGCAAAAACTTGCTGCAGAATGTTGTTCTTACACAGTCAGTCTATTTGATGATGCATTTTTTGGCAAAGTGGCGAGCCTTGACCCATCTTTGCTCATAAAGGACTTTCCTGGATTCCCCTTTTATAGCCAAGCATGTTTATGTCACCTCTTTTAAAATGTCTTCTGAACATTTAACGAATGAATGTTGCTGGTATCAATTTTAGAATGAGCGTACATCTACAAAAAACACAAAGTCAAATATCTTGTCTTTGTACTGATTTTGTTTAAATACAGGTCAACGTGAATTTACTTACCACTGCTTTCTGTTTTTATCAGCGTTTCACATACTTTCTGTATTTTGTCGGAGTTGGGTTGGTACATAGCAAGGCTAAAAACAGTAGCAGCAGCCATCAGCCTAAATTTTGTTTATACATCTGTTCATCTGGATGGAAGGTGTCAGATAATGACCTTTTGCTGGTCTTGTCTCCCTGCAGTGTTCAACGGCCACACTAAGCTGATGAAGGAGAGGGAGAGCACGCCCAGGCCGAAGAGCAGGGAGCTGTTGGTGAAGGAACGCTCGGAGAGGGCAGAGGCTCGGAGAGAGCAGAGCCAGTGCACCACAACCAGAAACCACACTGCCAATGGCCACGGCCTCAGAGGAGCCGCAGAGGAACTACGCAAGCAGGTAGGACTTTATCTCAAACTCATAATGCAGTTGCAATACAGAGAAGCGAATTGCCCTCCTCGCCAACTTGTTGATCTGTTTGGGGGCGTGTTGCTAAAGCCCGGCCTTTTTTAGGTGTTAAGTGCATGCAGTGTTGAGAACAGGCCTATGTTTTTTTTTTTAATTATACATTTCAAGTCGAGGTCATTACTCATAGAACACAACTAACCATTAATAAATGAAGATGAATTAATGACATGAAAATACAAAATATTCTGCTATAATTTTTTTTTTGCATCAAACAGCAACTGAGTGAGATCATGTCATCTGGGAAAGTTGGCAAAAAAATCTAATGAGACGAAATTAATGCTGCATCTTTACTGTATGAAACATCTCTGATTAACAGCCCAATGTTCTGATTAAGCATTTGTGTTTTATAGTAGCAAAGTACATAAAGGTTAATAAACCATTGTAGAGACATATACCACCATTCCTTTTAGGTTTGAGGAAAATTGCATATTAAAATGTTCTAGAAGGAAATTGTACTGTTACAATGTTATAGCAACAACTAACAAAACAATTTCAGTCAGTAAGGTCTGACTGATATCCAGCGTGTTCAGTAAGGTTAATTATCAGTGCCAACGCTGATCCAGTATATTGAATCAGTGCATCACTAATTATTATTATTATTATTGCTGTTATCGTTTGTGGTGTTTTAATGCAATTTGCAGGTGTTACGTCTACTGAAAATGTTCAGCTGTGAACAGTTTTTAAGCTTTTTGGCAACGTTGTAGTCAGTACAGTCCTGCCAGCACAGCTATCTTGAATTGAATTGAATTGAATTGAAGTGAGAGAGAGGAAGCATCAGTCTTCTCTGACTCAGACAGCACGCTGTGACATCAGCTAATCAGAAGCAAGCGCTGGAGGCGGCTCCTTCCTCTTCCTCTCCTCTGAGAATGAACATCAAGGCCCAGTATGGCCTCCACATGATCCGACTGCAGCCTGCCGACTCTAACTGCTACAAAGCGCTTAATTAAACCAACGCTAAACCTCACTGATCAGAGCACAGCAAAGCCGAGATCGTCCAACTTAGCAACCTTTTATTCTGGCTCTATGTCTCTCTCTCTCTCTTTCAGTCTCTCTCTCTTTCATTATCTCTCATTTGTGTCTGTTGTAAGCAGTTTGTCAGTTTGAAAAGCATGTGTGTTTGTGAGACCAGTAATGAGAGCGTTAACTAGAGATGGCACAGTACTAATTTTTCTTTTATGGTACGAGTGCCGATGCTGATATAGAAACCTTGATTATTGGCTATTATACAGATATTGATCATTTTTTCTTTCGATTTTTTTCTGAAGCTTTAAAAAAAGTTATTTTTCTTGAAGCACTTTACTTAAGATGAGCATCTAAACGTAGGCTATCATGCTCAAACCATTGGTGGCACCAGAACTGCTGTTTTTGTGGGGTGACGTTAAATTTGCAGGTGGAAGGAATTCAGATTTCACTCAGAGGGATAAACTGCAAAAAACTAAATACAACAAAAGCAAAACATAAAAAAACATGCAGCAGGAGACTGAATTACTAGTCGACCAGAACACATACAACACCAAAAAACACAAAAAATCCTTGCATCTCTTGCTTTGTACATGTGAGTAATAATAACAATCATCATTGGTATTTAAGTCCTCAGTGTTAATGAGCTGGTTGATGATTGTGGCCACGTTCAGATTTGGATATCTGTAGTTACTGTATTTATTCAATCCTATATCATTATCTCAGCTGCGTTCATGCTTAAAACAAGCTGTGTTCATCCACTTCCAACCATACGGTCTTCTCCACATCTAACTCCAGAATGCTGAGATCATCACTGCTGAGCATGACTTAATAAACTCATAAACACAGGAGAGGGGCATAGATTCAGCACTGTACACTGCAGCAAGGTGACTGAGAGTGATGTCTTAAATAAGACAGCACTGAGAGGGTTAAGTTAGATGTGTTTGTGTGTGTGTGTGTGTGTATGTGTTTTTGTGTGTGTGTGTGTGTGTGTGTGTGTGTGCGCGCACTGTGTTCGTCCTATAAGCTGCAGATGTGCAGATGTTCTGTGTTAAATCTTCCTGCCATCCTGCAGCTGGTCTATAGCAACACATGATGTCATCTAGACACACACACACACACACACACACACACATATGCAGCTAAACCCACTTCAGAGAGACAGACAAGCTAAACATCTCTCTCTTTCTCTGTTTCTCTCTCCCTCTTTCTCTCCCTCTCTTTCTCTCCCACTCTTTCCCTTTTTTCTGTCTTTTTCTTTTCCCTGTCATTTTCTCCCTCCGTCTTTTTTCCTCTCTTTCTTTCCACTTTTTTTGTCACTCCCCATCTCACTGTTTTCTTTGCCCCCCCCCTTCTTATGTCCTTTTCATTGACCGAAATGTTCAGCCTGTTTATTCTCACATCTTTCCTTCTGTTTCTTTATGTTTCTCTATCTTTGTTTCTGCTTAGCCTTTTTTCTCCCTCGTCTTTCAAATTTCCTCTCTCGGTTTCCCACCCTACATTGCTCCAGACCACTCTCTCTCTCTTTGTCTGTCTGTCTGTCTCTCTCTCTCTCTCTTTCTCTCTCGGCTGGAGTGGCAGAGTGGGTGCTTTGCTCCGTTGGGCACAGACTGGTGACAGGCAGAGCGGCTTCTGTCTCTCTTTCTCTCTCACTCTCTCGCTCCGCCTCCTCCAGCAGACTAAACAATCACAGGCGGAGAGGTTTTTCCTCTCACGTGCGTGAAGCCTCAGGAGATTTACAGTAATGGAGTCATTGAGCCCCCTAGTGTCTGAGTCAATCACTGCACATGCAGCATTTGTATCACTGCTGACAGAGCGAGAAAGCGGACACTCTTTCTGCTGAGTAGGATCAGCATTGCAAGCACACACACTGCTGCAGGCTCATAACATCTCTGGAATGGAAACTTCATAGCAGAAGATAAAAGTGCACTTAACACCTCTTTAAAAATTCTGAAACAGAAACATTGTGTTCCATTCATCATGAAATATTCACACAATGTAAAGGATAAAAGGATAGATAGATGGACAAAGAGACATGTACACACACACACACACACACACACACACATACGAATATATACCTGTTGTCGGAACAAAACCTTGTGTCTCAAAAATGTTAACTTTGCAGGAAAAGGAAAAAACTTACTTTACTTTTAATGTAAGTCAATGGAACCAGAAGTTTTTTCCAAGGCATTTTAGGCTGTTTCTTTTGGCCCATTCATCATGAAATTTACACACAATGTAAAGCACAACAGGCATTTTCAAAAAACAGCAAAAATGGAAATATGAGGTTTTGTTCTGACAGCAGTTATATATATATATATATATATATATATATATAACTGTATATGTATATGTGTATGTGTGTGTGTGCATGTGTATTTGTGTGTGACACAATAGATAGATACATAGAATCTGAATGCGAATGGAGAAAAATAGCCCTCACACAGTTTGCAAATAACAATCCTTGAGTCCAAGGATGTAAATTCTTGCTGGCATATCAAAACTTATAACTCCAAAAAACTCCTCTTTTCTGTTCATTTTAATGCTATTTGGAAATACAATTTGTTCTTTGCATTGTGTGAACATTTCAGGATGAACAGACCAATAATAATGATCCAATTTGACTTACTTATCCAAAATTAACTCCCTTTTTCGTGCTGTAAAGTTTCAGAGATGCGAGGTTTTGTTTAAACAGTGTGTTTGAACAGTGGTATAAGTAGTTGGTATGTAAGGGTGGAGCTGCTGCAGAGCTACGGCAGAGTCACCTTACTCCTGCCAAGCTACCTGCAGAGAGCATCCATCACGCCCACCCTGGGGCTCCAGCACTGTCTGCATTCTCTGCATCTCCCCTCCCTCTCTTTCTCTGTCTATCTTTCTCCCTTCCTCCCTCCCTTCGCCCCGCTCTCCCTTCCTCCCTCCCACCCTCTCTCCCTTTCTCCCACCCTCTCTCCCTTCCTCCCTCCTTTTCTTACTTGGCCGACAAGAGGGGAAACGACTGATGAAGGAGATCGCGTTTCACTCCCCCCTTATCTTTTAATAGCCTCTCTTTGTGTTTGGCTCCACCTGATAGGAATACAATACAGCGTCCTGCTCCGGAGGCCCGCTCCAGTCTGTCCTCTGGCTCAGCCCACTGATGGATCACTGCAGCCTGGGCACACTTCACTTAACACTACCTCCAATGTGGAGCATATGCACAGCGGGAGTGCACAGTGTCTCATTTATGTTTCCAGCTTTGCTGTACTGATATAGAAGCAAAACACAAATGATCTCTCTTAAGATCTTTCTTAAGAATTTGTGTGCCATGGGCTTCCTGACCTTTACAGACATTCCTGGTGAGTGTTCTGTTGGTGTTTTAAGGAATCAAGACCTGGATGTACACAATGATGTTATTTTTAGTTTTAGTCAGAAGTTACAAAAACTGGGTGCTTCAGATTGTTTTTAAAGAACACATTATAATTTCTGGAAATATGAATTCTGTCAGGTTTACAGTACTGTTTAATAGGGATGCACCTATCATGAATTGGGCTGATTTTTATTAGTCCCCCCGCCCCCAAACTCATACTGTGTGGGCTAAACAAACATTCAACAATATAACATTTTACAGTGCTTTCTATTAGACATCATCACTGTGTAAATAACATTATTCACTCTTTTATTCATATGCATTTAAATTCTTAAGCAAAAAATCAGTGCCTGTTTAAATGATATGAATCAAATAAATTAGGACATCAAAAGTAAGAGGTGATTGATTGTTTAGCACAAAGAGCCATTTACAATTATGCTATGACAGCACTTGGCAACACTTACCTGCCTCATGTCATGTACCTCATCAAACTTTAACACAAATGAGAAGAGTAAACTGGCCGCTGATTGCGTGTCTGCTGATTGTCGTTTTGGTTGGCTCTGATCATGCATCCCTACTATCTGTGTTTCACTTTGGTGTAACAGTCCAATCAAAACAAGCTATGTCATGTTTGTAAAACATTCTTTTGTCACAGATTTGTGCTCAGGAGGCTGGGGTTCAGTAACTTTATAAATGCTAACTCCAGGGATTAAAACCTATAACCATCTACTTGCCTCTCAAACCAGTAGGCTGCTGTCCACCCTGCTATTATGTCAGTATCGGCCATGTCTGGTCAAAATAATGTAGGTCAATCTTTGAACATATAAAGCGTTCATCAAGTGTTTTTAATGTATTGCAAAGCATATCACAGTAATATGTAGCAGTATAATCAGTGTTTTTTATGTTTTTTTTATGTGTTTTTTGGTCCATGTCATTCAGACCTATTACAGTCACACACAGAGGAAGGAGATGGGGTGGATAGTGAGAAAGTTTGGTGTGTCTATGCATGCGCATGTTTTTGACCATATTAACTCACTCTGAAGAAGCAGACGCCATCTGAAACTGGGGGTCAGCAAGTGTACCCACTTTGTTGCACTCTCCAAGTTCAGGTTGTAAAGTTTTATTTTGCGATTTTAACCCATAGGGCCATTTTGGCACCGCCTTGCTCTGTTGAAAGCATGTGTAAATCGGTAACAGTATACCTTCAGTGCTGCAAAAGAAAACTGGGCCAAGAAAACAAAGTGAAGGAGATGAGACGGCGGCCCTGTCTGCAAGCGGGGCGGCTCAGTCTAATTCCCACAACCGCCTTTAACCAGCGAAGGTCTGGGTGTAACCCAAGCCTCGTCTGTAGCGCTCTGAAGCCGGTGGGGGGCCTCAGATCTGCAGCCTTTTATTTGGAGCATTAAAGTGGAATTACAGAGCTTGAGGAAACCATACCATATAAAACTGATTTTTATGTGCTGGGATGGGATTTTCAGCCAGACACTATATTCTGAAGTGAATTTGAAACAACCAGTAGTTGGCAATGAGTATACAGTGTCACTTTGTTTCCTTCTTTTTCTGTCCCTCTGCTGTTTTCTTTCCTTTGTTTATTAAGTCCTGTTGTAGCTGGAGTTGTTGTTTGCAGCAAGAATGCTTTGTTCACTGAAGTTGATATGACTTTAGTTCCCGTTTAAAGGGCCCATATCATGGAAAACCCTATTTTTCACTTTGATGAAATAAGAGTTGAAGTATGTAAAAAAGTGTAATGTTCTATTTGAAAATATGGAAGATGAGATGCAAAACAACCCATTCTGAATTAGTTGTTTCTGTAATGTCACAAAACCCAACGTATTTACATATATATCCACCTGTTAAACCTAAAACATGAGTGTTTCAGTATGGATTGCTTCTACATATCTCACAAAAACAGCCTGAACGAGTATAAAGAATTAACAACGGCTAGTCATGTAAAATGGTCATGAAAAAAATAATTATGTCCATTTAACTGCATAAAACCACACCAACATCATAAGTGGAGCTCAAAAAATGAAATACAAGAAAAACATAGGGCCATTTAATATTGGCAACCCAGAATGTCTCATGAGGCAGCCTAATTGAATTCAAAACCCTAAATTAGATATATATAATATGAAATGTCTTCACTAAAAGTGATATATTTTCCCTCTGTGTTTCCTCTTTATTTAATGTCCAGGTCTCAAAAATGAATGGGCTTTCACGGCTGTCTCCCGCCGGCTCGCACATGGCCGCTGCCAAAAAGCCGAAGGACTACCGACTGCCGTCCAGAACTGTGAAGTACACAGCCACCGTGACCAAGGGCCACGTCACCTACACCAAAGCAAAAGGAGAACTGGTGAAGAAAGCCAAACTCAACCACAGCAGGCACTCAGCTTCTGCTGCTGTTGGCGGTGCCCAGAAAGCCCACAGCACCAATCAGCACCAACCAGCCAGCAACGGCCACGCCCCCCAGCCCCCTCACTCAGGTAAAGCCCAAAGTAGCAATGCAAAAACCCGCAAACAGGTGCTATTATCCAACGGGGTCCACAGCGAGGCCAACACTCGCTTCAACTGGCGGCTGAACGGGCGCCACAGCATCAAGGAGGAGGAGGACGAAGGGAGGCAGGTGCGACATAACCTGCGCAACTCTAAGCGCAGGATGGACTCGGCTGTTGCCGTGGTTACGGGGTCAGAGGGCACGGATGCTAAGTCCAAAGCTTCTGTCTCTGAGGCTAAGAGAGCTAAGCTCCAGCCTAGCCCTCTGGTTGAAACACGCAGTAAAAAAGCTCTGGGCCAGGACAAAGCCTCCAGTGCCCTCGCTAACGGACACAGCATCACAGAGACAGCCGCTTCCCCCACTCAAAAAACGGGTTCTCCTGCCCCCCCTCCTGCTTCCCCAGCAGCCCCTGGCTCCCCCGCCACCCACCAGAGCCCGGCTAACCCGGAACCGGCCCGGCAGCGGCCCAAACGAGCCTCGGCTGGGAAACTAATGTTCATCAGACAAGCACAGCAGAGGGCCCAGACCAGCGCGGCCTTTAGCCGCTACGCTAACACTACCTCAAACAGCAAGCCCTCCAAACCAGCAGAGCCCCAGGCCACGCCTCAGTCCCAGCCGCGGGTGGACAAGGAGAAAGAAAAAGAGAGGGAGAAGGAGAGAGAAAGAGAGAGGGAGAGAAGTAGGGCAGGATTCGCAGCCCTGCCAGATGTTCCGGTCTTCAGGCCCAACCCCCGGGAGTTTCAAGACCCCCTGTTGTACTTGGACTCTGTGAGAGAGCGGGTGGAGTCCTGCGGCCTCTGCCGGGTGCTGCCGCCCTCAGACTGGCGGCCGGAGTGCAAACTGAACGATGAGATGCGTTTTGTCACCCAGGTGCAGCGCATCCACAAACTGGGCCGCCGTTGGGGGCAGAATGTACAGAAACTCGCCTGCATCAAGAAGCACCTCAAATCTCAGGGCATCACAATGGAAGACCCCCCAGTCATTGGTGAGTTGATTCAGTTCGGTTTACTTCAGTTTTATTTATATACAGTGGTCTCAAAAAGCATTTCAACAGTTCTACTCGTGTGAAATTTGTTGTGTTAAGAAGCAAAATGTCAAACCAGGTGGCATTTATTTTAGACGGACCATTCCCACGAAGTCATCTTCAGTTTGTTGAAGTATACTTTCAAAAGGATGCTAATCATTATTGTTTGAGCAGTTTCTTTGCAGACTTCTGCTTCCAAAATGCTTTTGCACACTTTCACATTTATAATCTCATCAGTGAACACAAGCACACTGACATCACTGTAAGAAAAAGGTTTTCACCACTGTGCTTTTCAGAACTCTTAGTGTAGTCTGGTTGTAATATTGTCCAGGATTTCTCCACACAAAGAGTTTACCGTCAGTTTTGATGCTGTGCGAAACATTTTGTTAAACATTTTATGAGGTGAACTAATGAACCCCATTAAAGTTTAGCAACTGTTAAACAAGTAAGTGTCCAAATTCTTTTTGAGGTACTGTAGCACTTTTTGCAACTGATATGACAAAGCGGCTCTACAGAAAGACTCCAATGTTCCAGCGGCAAGAAGAAACTCTCTAAAAGCAAGAGGAAGAACCACTGAGAGGAATCAAGACTTTGAAGGAGAAACTTCATAAAAGCATGAGGAAAAACAACTGAAAAGAGCCAAGACTCAAAACGAGGAAGCTCTTAAGAGCATGAAGAAGAACCACTGAGAAAAACCAAGACTCAAAATGAGAAGCTCTCTAAGAGCATGAAGAAGAACCACTGAGAAAAACCAAGACTCAAAATGAGAAGCTCTCTAAGAGCATGAGGAAGAATCACTGAGAGGAACCAAGACTCAAAAAGAGGAAGCTCTTAAGAGCATGAAGAAGAACCACTGAGAAAAACCAAGACTCAAAATGAGAAGCTCTCTAAGAGCATGAGGAAGAATCACTGAGAGGAACCAAGACTCAAAAAGAGGAAGCTCTAAGAAACTCTCTAACAGCACGAGGAGGAACCACTGAGAACCAAAAACTCATGGGCTTAATGGGCCACACCTGGTAGAACAGTTATGATAACCACTTGAGAATAATGATTAAAGAAATTAGATTACACAAAGGCACATGGATCAGACACACAGAAATTTTGACAGATTTCAGTGACTGCAGGAAGTGTAGGGAACAGTGTTGCTTCCGTTGTTAAGTTGCACCATAAAAGAAGAAATAGCTTGTTGCATGGGCTGAACTATGAATGATGGCAGCAGCAAACAGTGGTTAGATTATTAGATTAAACTAGTAATAGTCAACAATTTAATCAGTTACAGATATAATCACTAGTTTCAGCCCTACGTTTGACAATGAACAAACCATGGCTTCTAAAAAATGGATTCCAGGGAGCCTCTTGCATCACTTGGAGCAACAATTACAGAGCTGTTGACCCAGCACTTTTCTGTCAGCTGCGTGAATCAGCAGTACCATTTGCTTCTAAGTGAATTAGATTCACTCCAGATGAAGTCGGAACAGCAGTCGTGCTGCGCAAATAGGGGTTAAACACGTCAGCAAAATCGCAAATGACATACGAGTTCTATTCCGCTGCGCTACAGTAATGACGTGCAGCTTGAGTCGTCTCACGGACAAATCATGTGACTTCACCAGCCCCAATAAAGGCACATGTTAAGATATAAGCCCGCCGTCAGCCCTGGTTAGGAAACAGTAGCTCACCAAAATTGCCTGTCTCTGTGGGTTTGCCAGAGGCACGGCTGAGCGTTTACGGCCTTCAGAAGCAGCCCCTGGCCTCTGGTTCCCATCAGCACTTTCTGTTCAGTGTGAAGGTCCAGGTTATGTGGTTGGAATAAATGTTTACTGAGGCGCTGAGAATGCAGCTGCAGTGCTGGAGCGGCTTCAGCCGGAGAGTTAAACTGCCGGACGTTGACCCGTATTCAAACCCCCATTCACTTCTCTCCTCCGAAATCATGTTCTCCCTGTTACGCTTTGAGAAACAAATAAGGACGTGATGGATATGATGGATATGATGATGACATCATGTTTTCCTCTTGCTTTTACAGAAATAATGACCTGTGAAACTGAATGAATATCTCTTCAGTATCTGATCTGCACTTTAAATGTGTTTCCTTGCAGTGGTGTACTAGATTAATACTGGCTCATAAACAAGACACTCACACACATCTCTCTCTCTCTCTCTCTCTCTCTCTCTCTCTCTCTCTCTCCTTTCATTTTTTGTATCTTTCTGTTTCTTTCTTTCATTCTGCTTCTCTATCTTTATCTTTCTTTCTCTTTCCTGCTCTCTTGTTCTCTTTGTATCTTCCACATTTTCCCTCGTTTTATCCCTGCGTCTTTCTTGCTTTTATTTTATTTCTCTCTTAATTTTCTTTGCATATTTCTTTGTTTGTCTTTTACTCTTTCCCTCTCACTTTCTTTATCTTTTGTACCTTTTTCCTTTCTTTCTTTCTTTCTTTTTCTTTCTTTCTTTCTTTCTTTCTTTCTTTCTTTCTTTCTTTTTCTTTCTTTCTTTCTTTCCTTTACTACTTCTTTGTCTTTTTCTCTCTCTCTAAACTTTTGTTCTCTGTCTATCTTCCTCTCCCCCTTTTTTGTCTTCTTTGTTTTTTTCTTTGTATCTTTGTTTCTTTAATTCTGCTTCTCTTTTATCTCTTTTGTTTTCTTTCTGCTCTCTCTCTCTCGTTCTCTTTTTATCTCCCACTATTTCTCTCCTTTTATCCCTGTATCTGTCTTTTTTCTTTATTTCTCTTTTACCTCTTTCTTTACCTTTTTTCTTTCTTTCTCATTTTCGTTCTCTCTCTCTCTCTCTCTCTTTCTTTTATTTCTCTCTCTCTCTCTCTCTTTCTTTTATTTCTCTCTCTCTCTCTCTCTCTCTCTCTCTGAAGGAGGCTGCGAGGTGGATTTAGCGCGGTTCTCTGAGCTGGTCAGTGATATGGGTGGAATGCAGCAGGTGATGGACCTGAAGAAGTGGAGCCGGCTGGCCGACCTGCTTCGGATCCCCAGGTCAGCGCAGGACCGGCTGGCCAAGCTGCAGGAGGCGTACCTACAGTACCTGCTGAGCTATGACCAGCTGAGCCACGATGAGCATCGCTGGCTGGAGCAGGAAGTGTTGAAGGAGAAGGAGATGCTGGAACGCCGCCGGGGGCCCCTGGAGGGCCACTCGGAGAATGCCCAGCACACCCTGACACTGCCCCGCTACGAGCCCAAAAACGGCCTGACTGGACTGGGCCTCCGAAACGGCTTCCACAGTTTAGAGCCGGATCCCCCGCGGCAGGCCGGCCGCCGCAGACTCTTTGCTCAGGAAAAGAAAGGGGACAAAGCAGAGAGCCACCACGAAGATAAGAACAACGAAGAAGAAAGCGAGGATAAAGGGGTTCTCAGTGACCAGCACAAGTGTATATACAAGGTGAGAGAGGTTTTGTTTATTTGGTTTTTTGTCCTCAGGCAGGGACCGTTTTATGGGGGTACAAAAGTGTATCGCACCAGGGACGTTTGGGATTTCAAGCATCAATGACTAAAGCAGAGTTCGGCAACCCAAATGTTTAAAAGAGCCATTTTATCCTTTCAGCAAAAATCAAACCTTGGGAGCCACAACATTTTATGTCAGTTTTACCATCTTGGCTCTAAATACCTCTCAGTATGTGCTAATGTACTAGTATAGACATAAAATGTAATATATAAATGAAAACGCAGACTTACTTTTAACTTTAAACGTTAGCTCAGCTGTAGCCACTTTTCTTGCATCTCCGGCAGGAAACTTTTCCAAAAGTAGAATATGTTCTTGTAAAATTCACCAGAATGAGACTTCTTGCTGGAATTGGTAAGGTCAGCTTCTTGTTCGAATTTTCCCGTTTCACCTTAAATCAGGCACTCTTCAAGGTGGAATGGGAAAATTCAAAGTTTGCGGCCCAAACAAATAACCACAAAAGCTTCCATGGCCCGTGAGAAAATTTAACTGACCATATAGTTTTTTTCTCACTCACCTAATAAGATGATTATGTTTTGCAGCTACTAAGTGCTGGACATTCAGCTGAAGAGAGGAAAATTACAAATGAAGTTTTGGCTCAATCGATAGGTCTAGTTACATATTCACTATGTTAATTCTCTAAGTGACAACGTAAATCGTTTAGCTTCAAAGCTTCATTTGACAAGATCTCTAAGAACACAGCACAGTAGTAGTTGCTGCTTTTCGGTTCCCACACATGTGAAACTTCGCACTAATTACTCACTGCGGTATTTTATTTGTTTCCGTTTATACTTGGTTTCCTCAGTGACTGCTTCATTTGTAGATATCCAAGCCTTGGGATCTTTCCTGTTGCAAGACCCTGATTTTAACCATTTATCCATTATTTATATGATCGAAAAGTGAAATATTTTACATTTGTCTTGTTGAAAATATAAGCACAACTAGCCAGCGTTTTGCCAGAAAAATCAATGAGCTCAATATAAATGTTTTATTTTTATAAATAATTATTACAACAATATTTGTTCTTCTACTGATCTTATGTAAATAAAATTCTAAACCAACAAACAAATGAAAAATAAAAAATTATCTCTCTTAGATCTCATGTTTTAGCAACAAAGCTAGACTACAGTTGCTATAGAGGAACAGGCTACACCAGCAAGAAGGGACAAATCAATAATAGAAAGTTTTTTTTTCCAGCCCCTATAGCGGCCCCTGCTGCTTCCATTGTTTACAGTCACTAAGACTGTTAACAGTTGAGGTAACAGTTGACTAGAAACGTTAATCATGTAGGTGGTAATGCTTATGGTACTACGTTCCTGCCAATTTAATTACGTCACTCTCATGCTGCGGTTGTAATGTAATTTGGTCATTTCTGTCCTTAACAATGTGTTAATCACAGTAATTAAAATCCAGTCAGTCATGCAGGCCTACTGCACAATATATGCTGTACCAGTGTGTGCATCCACATTTCTAATCTTGTTCTGGAACCAGGTCTGAACAGTGAGACTGCTTCCACATAGTGCAGTCTGTGGAGTGGCCTTGGTTCATTGTCCGCTGAGCCTCTCTCAGGTGGTAGGAGTGTATTAACTGTCTGAAAAAGCTGCCGATTCACGTCTCCAGTCTGCCATGTTTACTCGAGCCGGCCAAGCCAGCACTTGTGCCATTTCCTCAGGTAATAAAGCACTAAGCGAACGTAGGAAGCACTCACCGCTGAGCTGCCAAAGCATGTGCCAAAACTGAGCCTGATGACTGTGTTCTCTCTCTCTCACACACACACACACACACACACACAAACACTCAGAGGGAAATGAACAGCAGTCTGAGACCAGCAAAAGGAAAACAGGGGTTTATTATGACAACCTTATCACACGTCTGTGGTGGCTTTTACTGTTGGCAGGCTTTGTTTTTTGAGGTGTGTTTGTGGTTGATGGAAGTGTCGCTGATTTCACGCTGATCAAGCTTGTGATATACAGTTACATACGGTCCTGTGGTCATTCTTTAGTCTCTTTCCATTGATGGATGGGTTGGAGGGGGGCTGATCAATTATGCAGCAGCATATGGGCTGCTGTAGGTGTTTCTGATAAAATGCCCAAGTAAGTTTAGGTGCAAGATAGATGTACCTAATAGTCAATATTTAATATTTTCTGAATGTATTAGGAAATAATTCAGATTCACCACCTGATTTGAATGCTGACTAGGAATCTTTTTTGCTTAAAGCTATTAAAACACCTGGATTTTAGCCCAATAAATCCCATAATATATAGTCCATAAATTTGCAAATGTGTACAGCGTGTACCAGATAGAGAACAGCTGCTCCTGAAACAGTAAACAAGCTTAAAGAATGACAGTATAGTGTATTAAAATATCTCAGATGTATATTTGCCAGTATTTGGCATTAAATATTTTTATTTATAATCCTTCTTCTTCTTCTTCTTCTTCTTCTTCTTCTTCTTCACTGGTTTTATAACTATAGAGATGCATACATGTATTTAGAAACATTTTATCATTTTGACTGACGCATGTAGACCCATGTAGAGTTAAGTACATGCAAACGAGTTTGTTTTAATTTAAGATTTATTTATTTATTTATTTATTTATTTATTTATTTATTTACCCCCTGAATGATTTATGAGTTTGGGGTGAGAGAGAGACACAGAGAGGGAGAGAGAGAGAGAACAGCAGTGTGTTGTGTGTGTGTGAGATGTTTCCCAGGCCCTCTGCAGCCCTGTTGAAGGTAAAGTTACTGTGTCTGCCTCACGGCATCAAAGCCACTGCCACCAGCTCTCAGACAGACCACCGCATGCCTTTTAGAGCCATGTGTGGACTGAGGTGTATCACTGTGCTGAGCTGTGTTGGTTGTATTGAATCTCCAGTCTGAGCTGAGATTAAATGTGGGTCACTGCTGAGCTTTCTTACTCATAACACAGGGTAACTTTACTCTCAGTCTCTATATCTGCCTCTGTTTCTCCTCTCCTCTCCTCTCCTCTCCTCTCCTCTATTCTTTATTTTTTTTCTTTCTTTCTTTGTCTCTCACCCTTCTCTTTCCTCTTTCTCTCTCTCCTCTCCATGTTTTCTTTCTTTCTTTCTTTCTTTCTTTCTTTCTTTCTTTCTGTTCTCTCTCCTGCTCCTCTCTGCAATAAATCTCCCTACAGCATCACTCTCCCTCTCTAACGCCCTCTTTATCTCCCACTATCGCTCTCTCTCCATCTCTGTCTGTCTGCAGTATCTCTTTCCTCCTTTATTTCTTTCTGTCTTTCTGTCTAATTCTTTCTGCAGCATCTCTCTTTCTCTTATTCACTCCCTGATTCTCTCTTTCTCTCTGTTCAGTTTATGATACCTCTATCGGTATGACTGTGCTCACAACTTAACATGTTTATTCAGAGTTGTATCAGTCTTAGAGTTTCTTACAGTGTTGAAAGAAATAAATTAGTTGAATCTATATAAACATTGAAACGCTGTAGATGTTGATTCAACGCTGGGGATTTTGCCATGTTATGATAGCAGCAAACAAGTATATTTATGACATCTTACATATATGGGGCTAATAATAATCCTTCTTTCTCTGTTTTGTTCACTACGCCAACAAATAAGCAGTGTTGCTTTAAAATCCACTAATCTGTGCACACAGCTTCATATTACTCCTCCTGTCCATCTTTAACTCCCTTCTCTTCTCCATTGTTCTAATATAATCCATACTGTGTTGTGCTTTCATACGGAGTGATTTTCAGCAGCGGCAGAGGGGAGAGGTGGGGGGGCGGCTTTTCAGCAGGTTTTTAAATCCAGTCCCTGTGCAGGCAGATTTATAGACCCCTTCAAAAGGTCCTCCTGTGTTCTGAGGACGTCTCAAGGAGGGTTCACACTGAGGGTAAGCACACACGCGTGCGTGCACTCTCTCGTGGCTATATGGGGACGTACAGAGTTCAGAGGGGCTGCGCTGGTTCCATCTGCGTTCCTCATTCCTTTTCCACTCTGCTATCTCTCCCCATTCTGTCCTGGTGGACATTACAGCACATCCTGTGTGTGCTCCCCTAAATCGCCCGCTATCAAACGCATTTATTGAAGACATATGCATACATTTACACACTGACAGATGATACTACAGGGTTATTTAGACTTGCTGCAGGGTCTTAAAGATAGTAGTGTAGGCTGTTGTGTATAAATAAGGCTGTATAGCATGAAAACATCACAACAGATACGACAGTAACAGAACGTAGTCTACTATCTTAATCTGTTATGTTAGTGTTTTATGTAAACAAGGCTTTAGGGGTTATTGAATGAAAAAATGCAGCCTATCATAATAGATGTCACAGTAGCATAACCTGGTCTACTTATTCACTTTTACCACATGTTATCAGCCCAAGTTAATGAACATATGTAGCCTGAATGGGGCTAGCTTGAAGTTAATATGCATAGTTTAAACAACAATTAACAAAGTCGGTAACTCGCAGCTGTTAAGCTTGTTTGTCATGGGACTAACTGGACAGGTAACCGTTAGCTAGCATATGTGTAAGCTACAGCTTAAAGCTACACTCAGTAGAAGTAAAGTAACATTTAAATAGAGTGAGTTGCAGCCAACCTCAGCACTGTGTCATGTAGGTAAGTAGTCTAGCTGTGGTGGTGCTGTAAACTACATGTAGGAGGGTTAAATCTCTGCTAAGTCCCTCTATCAGCGGCTCTGGCGCGGTCAGTTAAAATTAAGTGGAGTTAAGGACTGGAGTCACTGTCGACTCTCATCATGTGTTGCCACCAGAACAGGTTGCATCCTCATGTGCCCTCATTCAAAAACAATCGTCTAGATGAATGAAAAGACACTATTGAAATATCAGCTATTTTTTGGAAATTAAATTAACTTCTTAACTGAAGGCATTGAACATTTATGTATTTTTGTTGGTTAATCAGTAATATTTATTTTAAGTTTTAGTGATTTGTCCATGCTGTGCTGTTTATTTTTTTTAAAGATATATTTCTCACATTTTCTTTCTGTCTGTGTTCTGTTTCCAGGGCAGGTCAGTGTCTTTGACCGTCTTCTACAGAATAGCCAGGAATACCATGATGATGTGCTTCAACAAAGAGCCAGGAGCTTCTGAAGTTGAGGTAAAAAAGATGAATAATATATAATATTCACAGTGTGTGTATATATACACATAGCATCGATTACACAGACAATTACTTCAGCATTCAGACAATTACTTCAGCATTCAGACAATGTTTCCCTGTTCTTAGAAAAGGGCAGTTGTTTAATTTTTTTTTTAAATTTGCAGACAAGTTTTCAGTTCTTCTCTAAGAAAGGGAAAACGCATTACTGTTGTAGCCCATGCTAATAGTTTGTATGGTTCAGATGCAGCAGATAAAATGCTGTGTTTTTAATGTTATTGGGCTGCACGTTTATCTGTAATGTGACTAATGTTGAATGTAAGACTTTATCTGTTGTAGTATATGATTGTTTTTTTCTTTCTTTCTCTATCTTCCTTCTTATTGTTGTTTTCTTTCCAACCCCACTCATACCTTGCAGCATGAGTATTGGCGAATAGTGGAGCAGAGGGACTGCCACGTAGCAGTGCATTATGGGAGAGTGGACACAAGCACACATGGAAGTGGCTTTCCCGTGGGCAAGTCTGAGCCCTTCTCAAAGTATGAGCTTTTCCTGCTTCTTTTTCCTTAATACGTGATCTTCATTGAATTTGAAGTTTAAGCCTCAAGTATAGTTTAGTAATGGAGTTGGGAGAGAAGCTATTTAGCGCGTCGTAGACAATATTGGTTTTACACCAAAAGAAACCATGAATGTAAATTGCAGTGACCACCACACTGTTAGCCAGTAAATACTGTTTTTTTTTATTCATCTACTTCTATTAAAAATGCACGTCCGTTTAAGTCACTGTAGGGCTACGTGCTGAAGGAAATAATGTCTTGTAAATAATTCAGATGTACAAGGACATTTTTTTCCCCCCAAAAGAAATGAAAGATTGTCAGGATACAGATAAGCCAGACATGTTTTAATTTAGGCTGTGAGAATACATGATAGGCTTTACTCCACTCCAGCCATAGAGACTTACAAGCTTTGTTGTTGAACTTGGCTAAAAAACCGGCCTCTTTTATTAGGAAAGGGATTGACTGACATGCAAAACAAACAACCACAGAGCGATTTTGCATGACGTGCAGGGGTGGGCAAATGCAGAGACGGTTTTAAAAAACATACAAGCGTGAATCAAGTGATTAACAATTGTTTGTTTTTTAAAAAAACACATTCATTAAACTTTTCTGGTGGAGTTTCCAACCTTTCACAGTCGATGTTTTTCTTGTCCATGTCCTGTCTGTGTAGGGTGGTCCACCGAGCAGAGGATGCTATTTGCAGATAGTTAAACCAGTTAAATTTTTTTTGCCTTGGCTTATCAAAACTGATTTTAGGAAAGCCAGTTAATTCCATTATTTAGCTATGCAAGCTGCTAATAGTAGGTTCCATTAATGAGTGTGTTTTATGTGCCCTTTATGGAATTTCACTACAGCCTCAGTCACTGTAGTAAACCCCTCACATTTGCTCCCACTTGCGCATTCTCCAGTATTCAACAAGCAGCTCTGCTTACACGTCCCTTCGCCTTTTTTTCTCTCCTCATATTGCCTGAATCACTCGTTTGGTTAAGTCGCTTAACATCTCGTACTGCAGGACCTGTAAACGTTTTGAGTAAAATAATTGAATGTTTGATAATATGAGGAGGCCTCTGATCGTTCAGGAACACTAAAGATTGACTCATTTCCCCTCTCACAATACCAGACCATCCATCCTGTCCATTGCTTTCACTTTTACTCCTGACCTGGAAAATCACTTTCTGTGAAAATTTGTCAGAAGAGGCAAATTGGGGTTAAAAGCAGGCTAAAAACTGTGCAGTGTCAGCCCAGTTTACACAGTATTGTAAAAATGTCTCTGTCTCTGTCACATTTTCAGGCATGGATGGAACCTCACTGTCCTCCCCCATAATTCTGGATCCATTCTGCGCCATCTTGGTGCTGTGCCCGGTGAGTCTTCAGCTGTTCTGATGAATGTGAAGGCATGAGGAGAACAGGATGAGCCTGTTCATACTGCAGTTGTACCGTAGCCATTTTAATAACCTCTGTCTGTCTCTTTCCTTGGTACAGGGGTGACCATTCCCTGGCTGAACATTGGCATGGTCTTTTCTACCTCATGCTGGTCACGAGACCAAAACCGCCTTCCATACATTGATTACTTACACACTGGTGCTGATTGCATTTGGTGAGTTTTATCATGGAAAATTCCACACAAAATATAAAAAATAATTCTGTTTTGCATATTAATGTATAATTTCCATTTGGGTTGTAAATCTCTGATTATTTAATTACTTTTGATAATATTATGATTCTTCTTGCAGTGAATCAGTGCAGCATAATATCTTAGATTTCTCCACAGTACTATTCAATTACACATCAATAGTATTCAGAAGCAGTTACCCAATAATGGAATGTAGGTAATAACAATACAGCAAGCCCTTATGTATTTTTTACTTTTGAAAATCCCCCAAGAATAACCAAGAATAATCAGTTATAGAAGAATATAACATTGGAAAAATGGTCAGAGATGTCCAAACATTTTGCCATGGGGGCCAAAGTGCAATGTTTATGGTGGCCCAAGGGCCAAAAAGACAAAACAGTATACAAATAGAGTTTTTAAAATTTATTTTCTGTTTATGACACTATATGTTGTGCCATTAATGCTTAAAAAATGCTTTAAAATACACTATTAAAAGGAGTATAAGAATTGAATAAGTTATATATAGTGTACAAAAAGTGGGGTTAGGGTAACTTTGTGAGGGGCCAAATCAAACTTCCTCACAGACCAACTTTGGGCCTTTTGGGAAGCCCTAGTATTTACTATTACACTGCACAGTTAAGCGTAAGTGAAGCTCTTGTGGAAGAGTTATGAACAGAATCTTACCTGCAACACCATTTTTTACCTCGACCCTATAGCTGCAGCTGATTTATTGAATTGTGGTATGAATTTAGTAATACAGTGGTCCTGTGAATCATTTATTATCGAGAGATTTGCAGCCTGTGGGGCTCTAGGGGGAGCAGCACTCCGCGAAAGCAGAATAGCAGAGATGATCACAGCATGTGCTGCCCCTGAGAGACTGAGCTTGTGTGTCTGTCTGCGCACAAGACTGACTCATCAAAAGAAAGAAAACAGGCAGTTGCTATGGTAACACAGCTGGCACAGAGGAGACAGCACAGAGTGCTCCTTTCCTCTCTTTCCTCTGGTGTCTGACACACAGAGTCAGAGCTGACGGAGTGTTTCCCGCTGTGCCGTGCAGGTATTCTATTCCTGCTGAGGAGAAGACTAAGCTTGATAAAGTCGTGCACACACTGCTGCAGGCCAACGGCACCCCAGGACTCGAGATGCTGGAGAAGAACATAATGGTGAGAGATTACACGCTCTCTAATTACACACACACCGACCCCATGTTTTCTCTAACGATACCAATTAACAGTGTGATACCAGCATTCTTTTTTCATTTAGTGGCCGGTATGGCAAAAATATTGCATATTTGAAGGGCCCATGTCATGGAAAACGGATTTTTTTTTTTCTTTCTTTTTTTTTCACTCCACTGTTCATACAGTCCATATATGGAACTCATTTTCAGTTGTGATGACACACAATCCTGCTGAAGGACTGTTTCAGTCTGCTCTGCTTTTTTGAATGAGGCACATTACTGGGCAGCCAGTCAGAACAGAGCTCATTTACATATATCAGTCTTGAAGGGACAGTGACAAAAACAGCCTAAGGGATAAAGAAAGGTTGGAAAAAGCTCATATAAAATTTAATTTCTGTTTTTGGTACATAAACCCCCACACATGTCGTAAGTGGACCTCAGGGAAAAATATAAAACACAAGAAAAATATAGGATGTGGGCCCTTTAAGTGCCATCAAGAACTGAATACAATCCCGGGGTTATTACTGTGACATTATTGTGATAAATTACATTGCATTACATCACAATATGCTTTCCTGAGCATATGATTGATATTGTCTGTATTTAAAGAACACTGACGAACTGCGGGTTTTTAATTACAAAGACTGCATAATTAGTCCTGTTTAACCCCTTAAAATCCCAGGCTTGTTTCATACTAAGGCTTATTGTTCAGTAGCTACTTCAGAAGTGTGTAAGAAAACTTTGTCTTAGTATGTGAAATGTTAAAAAGAAAATTGTTTTTGATATTATTTTTTTAATGTGCTTTTAATGTACACAGTTATTGATTCCTTAGTTCTTTTTATTTCTAGTTTCTTTTTTTTTTTTCCTCTTTCAGCTTATTAAATAAATCGTGGTACCCATTGTGTATCACTAATAATGTATGTTTAAGTACTATGATGATATATTTTTGCCATATCGCCCACCCCTAGCCCATATTTAATTTTTTTATTTCTATTTTTATGCAGCTTTCCTGCATACTGCACATCTTTCAGCAGCACTACTATCTAGTTATGCCTGGATAATTGTGTTTTCTTGGACTCTCAGCATCATCAGGATCGCAGGTCTTGCGATTTTCCTGACAGTAGAATGAATTAATCCAAAGCTGTGCCACTCATAAGCCTCTTCTAAACCCCCTTTTTATGACACATGCAGCTGATCAGTATTCTCTTAAGTACTGACGATTTACACAATATACTCAGAAAAGTGTATTGTGATGTAATTTATCACAATAATAGTAACATATTGTCCTATTGCCCATGAGGCTGTAACTACACATCACTTTTTAACTGTGAGAGGAAAACACATTAAATATCAACATGAGAAATTAATGACAAGACAGTGTAATCAAATAGTGCCATAAAAGGATACAAGCACATAAAAGGTTCCAGAGACGTGCAAGAAAACTCATAAATACATAATTATGCATTCACTCGCTCACACAGAAACAGCTACTATAAATCGTTCTCATTGCACCTCACTTTCATCTCTCCTCTTCTCTCTTCTTTGCTCCTCTTTTTTTTTTGTTGTCTCTGCCCCACACACACTTATTAATAAATGTACAAATGGTAGGTACTTGCATACTTTACTCATTTGCACCTACAGACAAAAACAATAAACCAAGCACTGCCACTGGCTCGTGAAATTCTGAATTGGAATACAGGGAACCGTGGAGTGTCGTCATATTCCTCTATGGCTCTCTCTTTCATTTCTTTGTCAAAGCATTACAACAAGCATATGCAAACATATGCACATATAATAACAAAGAAAGTCTCTCTCTCTCCCTCTTTCTCTCTCAGATCTCTCCAGAGGTGCTTAGTCGAGAGGGTATAAAAGTGCACCGTACTGTGCAACAGAGTGGTCAGTTTGTGGTGGTTTTTCCCGGGACGTTTGTGTCCAAGGTGTGTTGTGGCTACAGTGTGTCTGAGACGGTGCACTTCGCCACCCCGCAGTGGATGAACCTGGCCTACGAGGCTGCTAAGGTGAGCCTGGAACATCTGCTCTCTGCTGCCACCTCCTGGACTGAGAATGCAACACTTTTAAAGTCGCTGTGTTTTAATCCCTTGAGCCCTAGGCTTATTAATCTTAGCCCTAGGCATATTAATAGTAATAATACATTCAGTTTTCAAAGTGCTTTTCAAAGACCCATAGACACTAGATGTATAATATTACATGTATAATATACCCAGAAAAGTGTATTGTGATTATCACAATAATGGTAACATATTGTCATATTACCCATGAGGCTGTAATTACACATCACTTTTTAACTATGAGAGGAAAACACATTAAATATCAACATAAGACGTTAAGACCCCCCAGAACATAGAGTACAGGGGTAGACAACATAAGGCCTTTTGTTTTTAAGGAAACACTGTGAGAGATATTTCACAAAGCAGGCTTTCTCATTTAGCCAGATATCTTAAGCCCAAAGATGAGGATTGTGTGATAGGAATGACCCCTTAGCTATTATCCTATTGGACAGGCTTGACTTTAGGCTTAAGTTATCTATCTAAACTAAGAAATCCTGCCTTGTGAAACATGGAAAAATGAAATACACAAAATTATCCTACTAATTATTAGGGATGTGTATCTCTGACCTAACAATGATTTTTATTATGATTCAGAATTGTTTTTATAGTGAGCCACACTTGTTTTGCACTCTTATAATGAATTATAATCTATTCCAAAATCTATGCAGTTTGATCTCCAACTTTAGGTCAATGCATTACGATGCATATATACATTTTTACACCCGTAACAACCAGTGACGGAAGACAAATTCAAACACACTCTTCTTCTCCAACCCCAACTTTTTTCTGTATTGATTTAATTTTTTGACATTGCTGTTCTATTTGCTTATGCAAACGAGTGTTCGTGGTGTCACAGGTTAAGAAAGTTTTCCGTGTTTATTTATTTGTTTATCCTTCTGTTCCTGTTTTGTTTATTCAGAAAATTCTCACTCTGCTTGCTCTGTTTGTTTTCCTGGGGGCAGGATCTAAAATGCAGGCGCATAGCCAAACCCTTCTCCATGGAGAAGCTGCTCTACCAGATCGCCACGGCCGAGTCCAAACGAGAGAACGCACTTCTGCTGAGTACAATCTCCTCTCTGCTCAAAGATCTCAGGTCAGCACAGCTCGCACACTCCACTGCCTGAGGAGAACGCAGATGTAAAACAGATGTTGGCTTACAGAATTGAATTCTGTGTAGCACTATTGTTGGATGGTCCACTGTGGATGTTTTGTAGATGTTTCCCTTGTCTTTAACTATTAACTTTAACTATTGACCATATTCCTAAATATAACATCCTTACTTCTACCTCAACACCTTAACCCAAAGCCTAAATCTTACCCCAGCCCTGGTCCTAGTCCAAACCCTAACTGATAATCAACTGTTTGTTAGCAATTTGAGAGTTTGTAGATAAGCTACATGGGGCTATTAAAACATAAAGAGACTGAATTCTGTTTTTTGTCAGGCTTTGAAATGTATATATGGCAAATGTACCCTGAGACTTTTTCATTATACACATAAAGTATTACAACATGTATTTTGTTTTCTGGAGGTTTGCAGACAGTTACGGGTCATTCTCCATTTGGAGTGGGAATTCAGGTGGATACATTTTTAAAAAATCAGCTTCTTTTATCTCAAAACTAAATAATCTTAAAATGTCCATTAACATCTCCTATTATCATATGTGCAATAAGGAGAGCTTAAATCCAAACATATTTCACAGTAACTGGTGTTATATGAATATGGTGTAGCACCAGTGACGGTGACTCCAGTGACATTCTGGTAAAAATAAAGGATTTTGTAAATTCTCATTGGTGGTCAGGTGACCTTGTGCATCTATTTAAAATCAGTAATAAAAATGATATTTGGCATTATTTTGACAATTTTAATTACGCAGCCATTAAAGCACATAACACTGGTGACACACAGAAGTTATGTGCTGCCTGATAAACAAAATTATTAATAAATTAATGAAAAATAGTGAGCAAGTGTGGATTTGCTTTCTCTTGGTTTGAGATGCTTCCTCTCTTGGCCTCGACCCAAAGAAGCACTTTAAAAGAGCTGAAAATACTGTGTTAAAATGTAACATAAGAGTCCTGATAACACCAGTGATCATAATCTCTGACAAATGAATTTTTTAAATAAAATACATTTTTGTAAATGTAGTTTAACATTAATGATATAGAAATAAACATTAATCTATTTTATACAAATTCCTAAGTTAAACCTCTTAAAAATATTGTTTTATATTAAAAATGTTGAAAATTGGTTTTGTGATGAGCTGTTTTATAGATGCAGAGCGACTATGAAACAGGATAAAAAAAGAAAAATCAGAGAATCATAAGGGAAACGTATTATTTAATCTAAGGTCAACTGTGTAAATGTATATACTGACTTTTGGAGCTGTGCCTAATATTTTAAGCATCTTTTTAAGCCCTGCAACCTTTGTGACATAGTTTCCCACTCCGAATAGAGAATGACTCGTACAGCCAAGAAGAAAAATCTAACAGTGGGTAAAGTGAACTAATAATATAATGACATAATGAGTAGAAATCCAACCAGCTACTTGTTACTATGCAGTTTATGTGGTTACTGTACACTGGTTATTGTTGTTTACAGGATCTCTATAATTTTCTATTAAGTTGTTTTGAAGTACCAAACCAATCATATTTTTAGAAAACGGCGTCCTGATGGAATTGATCATGATGATGATTACACATCGTCATATTACCCACTGCTAGGAACATTGCTCTCACAGTTTATCTGACCTGCAGCCTTAGTTGGTCACAGTTTTAGAAATGTGAATGGTTATACTGATGATATTCTGATGCCGTCCTGCAGGAACATAGAGATGAGGCAGCGGCAAGAGCTCTACGAGGCCGGCCTGCTCTCTTCTGCTCGATACGGCACTCACGACAGCAACCTGGCAGTCGGAGAGGGCAGGAAGAAACCCCGCAAGTGGCTGGCGCTGGAGTCATCTGAGAGACGGTGCCAAACATGCCAGCACCTTTGCTACCTGTCCATGGTGAGGCATTTATTCACAGAGCACTCACGACTCAAGTAGCCCGCAAGTGTTTTATTTGTAGTATCAGTTCAGTTGTGTGTTAAACCTTTAAACTGCAGGCTGATTATTCAGTATCTGCTATTATTATTATTATTATGGGTCTACTTTGAATTATTCAGTATTTACTGTGAGTAATTCAGTACCTACTATGAATTATTCAGTACCTACTATAAATTATTCTTTATTTACTACAATTTACATTGTTCATTAACTACAATGAGTCATTCAGTATCTGCTACTATTCAGTATCTTCTATGAATTGTTCATTGACTATTCTGAATTGTTCAGTAACTGCAATGAATATGAATTATTCAGTATCTGCTATTATTCACTGGCTACTGTGGATTATTCATCAACTACTATAAATTAATTAGTAGCTTTTATGAATTATTTAATATGTACTGTGAATTATTTCGTAGCTGCTATGAGTTACTTAATATCTCCTATAAATTATTCAGTAACTACTACGAATTGTTTAATATCTACTGTGAATAATTCAGTAACTAATGCAATTTTTTTGGTAACTGCTACAAAATATTTAATATCCACTATGAATTATTCAGTATGTGCTGTTATTGTTCAGTATCTACTATGAATTACTCAGTGTGTGTGTGTGTAGTAAGCTAAGGAGGTTGTGTGTGTGTTTCAGGTGGTGCAGGAGAACGAGAATGTGGTGTTCTGTCTAGAGTGTGCACTACACTATGTGGAGAAACAGAAGTCGTGCCGTGGACTGAAGATGATGTACCGCTATGATGAGGTAACCGTTACAAGCCCTGCATGAAGCAGTTCTATAAGCAGGATTAAACAGGGCCTGTGAGGGGAGCCGTTGAGATGAGTTTGCTTGCAGTGATCTTCAGTGTGGATGGGCAGACTGCACTGTGCAGGACCACAGCTCTGCACAGGCTTTTCACAGCTTAAACTGTAGAAAACTTGTACTTAGAGTCATTATCACCTCAATACAGAGCAGGTCCTGTGGATCAGGTTACATGACTGCAATAGAACTGACAAAAAAGAAGAAAAAAAACATTTTTAATGAAAAGGAGATGCCCATGAAGATTATTTTAAGTGCTTAGCGAACATTTGTAGTTAGTTTTTGTTTGGGTCAGGGTCTGTGTGGGCATGGCTTGTTTTCCATTAGAGAACATTTTGATCATTTTTGATAATAGAGTATCCAGCAGCACTTTATTTGTAGTGGTCCTTTGTAGATGATTAATAAACTCTTATCAGATTATCAGTAACACATCAACAACATATCAGTGAAGTAGCTGTAGTGAAGCATCTCAATACATTGAAGTAAATATCTTATAGATGTTCTGTTGATACATTACTTACAATAAGTAGATGTGTTTTTAATATGTTACTTCCATTACGCAAAACTTTCCTTTACCCAACCTTAAGCAAAACCTAACCCTCACCCTGGCCCTAATCCTAACCCTTATGTGTTTTTGACGTGTTACTGAGAGTCTGTTGAGAGTGTGTTTCAGCTAAAAAAGACCATTTAAAATAAAGTGTCACTGAATATCCACATTGAATATCTCAGTGAGAAAATGTCATATTGTTATCAATAAAAACTGAAAGCACAGAAGGTTCAGCTGGTGGTTGATTAGTGATTTTGTGTTAATCGTATGTTAATCGTATCACTTAACACACCACTGGGGCAATAACTCTCCCGACATCCACTGTAGAAATCTTTTATTGAAATGTTTCTATATACAGCTCTGTTTAGATGTGGCTGTTTGGCTTAATGACACACAATATGAGCTGCTTGTGTCTCCACATTCACTGCCTTTCTACATCACATGATTTACCAGAATATGTATGCAAATATTATAAAATAATACACATTTTTCTGATTATTTTTGTATTTATTATAGTATAGATGTATTGCATTTTATCTATTTTACATATTTTCCACTTTTTACGTGAATGCTTGATTGAGTAGATGGAGACGATGTCAGTATTTTCTGTGCTGTTTTCACACCTGTCTCTTTGTGTCTCCCTCTCTGTGCCTGCAGGAGCAGATTAACAGTCTGGTGAATCTGGTGTGCGGTAAAGCCACGAAGAGCGCAGCAGAGAGCTGTAACGGCTCCAGCCCCGGCAAACCGGCTGCCAAACGCGGCCCCCGCAAGAGAGCCACCGTGGAGGTGTCTCTGACCCACCTGCCCAGCCCCGCCCAGCTGTCCAAAAGTGCTGCCACGGCCATCTCATGAGAGACGGCCGTTTCTACAACCTGCTTTTAACCAATCATATCTCTCGCTGAACTCGTTTCACACCCCCTGACTCCGACAGCACGGCAGAAACTTGCTGCATGAAAGCAAGAAGCTGCCTTTTTTGCACTAGAGCGAAAGAAGGTTTTTTTTTCGTTAGGTTTTATTTGCAAATCTTTTAGTTAGCATTAAGCGATGTGCTCGCAGGTGTAGATCTGAATAGCGGGTGAGAGCAACATTACCTTCTTATCTGGACTGCCCCTCCTCATCGTCTTCGGCCCTGTCGACTGCATACACACACACTCAAGCCTGAACTGTGAATAGAGGCACATGTTGGTGCTCTTTTTTTTGTGTTCTCTTCTTTTATTTTTTTTCTGTTTGCTTTGGGATTTAAGTGATACAAGGGCCGCCAACCTGGGGCTTGTGCTTTTGTTTTTGTTTTTGAATACATTTGACCTCTTCAATCCCCTCGCTTACCGCTGGTGGGGAGGAAACGAATGAAAGGCGAGGTAACACTTGAAAGTTAAAGGACTGCTTGTTTAGTTTGGGTTTTAATCTGATTTTAGAATCGAGGAGTGCTTTTATTTGGTTTTATTCTCTCGGCGGATAGGGGAACACTGGTTTCCGTGGCAGCGTGTGCGGCTGTGCTTCAGGACGTGAGAAGGACTGGTGTGATAAGCCCCCCCCGTGGAGACAGAAGGGGCTTCTGCGCTGAAACTTAGAGAACTGTGCCTGATCTTCACCGGGGAGGTCCAATGATTTTTGGTGCTTTTTTTCCTCTTTTTTTTTTACTGTATATCAATACAAAAAGGTAAATTAAAAGGAGTGCTATCTGCCTTCGTACACCACAGGACGGAAGAGCTCTGGAGGCTTTTTCCGCTTCTACATGTGCAATCGTGTTAACATTCCATACTTCCAGACCTATTGACTCATCTGTACCAGTTAACATTAATTATTATATTATTGTAATTATTATTATTGTTGTTATTATTATTTGTGTTCGGACATCCATTTCAATTGGATGTGCTATCTCAAGTAGAGCCACTAGGCAGAGGGTGTAAAATGTGAAATACGAGTCCAAGGATTTTTGTTTTTTGTTGAATTTTAATTTTTATTTTGGTTGTTTTTCCCCTCATTTTCACTATTTTCCTTGCTTTCCCTTTTGCAGATGTATCACAAATGATTTAAAGAAACTCAACAAACCGACATTTTGTACATAATCCTGTAAATGTCTTTAAATACTTGAGCCTTTGTTGGGGGTGGACAGAAGGAGGGGATGATGCATGATGAAGAAAAGCCTTACCTTTCAGTTTCTTCATCTGCGCGAGTTTGACGCTTACAGGGTTACTCTGATGACATGGATAAATTTTTTAAGTGCTGCTTATATCACTGAGAAATAAGATATGGAGTAGCGACCCCCCACTCACCCCTCCCTCCCTCCCCGCCCAGGTTCGTTTTTTTTTGTTTCTTAGCTTTACTTTTTTAAAGAAAAGGGAAAATACCTAAACAAAAAAAAAAAGTTTTTACATTTTCATTACTGAAAATTCAACAATGTAGTAGCTACTCATGTTGCACTGAGCTTGCCAGTGGTGACTGTCAAGAAAAAACCTATAATCCAGTTTGTTGGTTGTTGTCCTTTACCGAAGACTGAGCTGTTTTAGGAGTATTTAATGAAAACCAAGTCAGGTGTTTTCAACAGAAAAGTGGTTGTCAAGTTTTTATGGCCTTACAATGTATTTTATTCAGAATTTTTTGCTGTTTTTGTTCCTTTTTCTACAGTATGAACGATTTGTTCACCGTCTGGCAAAGTTAATTTATTCGCACTGCGTCTCAGCCTTTCCTTACACATGGGAAGATTTCATGTTGGTTATATTGCCAGTTTTTTACTTTTCCAGTTTGTACTTAAGGTTTAATAAAAACTTATGGACAGTTCACGGTCAGTTCTTTTCAAGCCGCCTGTCTGTCTGTCTGTCTTTTGTGGAGGGCTTACAGCTCCTACTCTGTGTGCTCGCAGGGGTGGTTCCTCAAAAAACAAATTCTGTTACAGTTTACTCTCTCTACTTACTAAGTACAGGCAGGGATAACATAAACAGGCAACATTTGTTTTAAATGCATTACACATAATTAATATTGTTCTCTTAGACAGAGGTCAGCAACCCAAATATTAAGAGCCATTTTGTCCAACATAAATCAGTCCACCTTGGGAGCCACAACATTTCATGTCCATTTATTGAAGTAACGTCTTACCATCTTGGCTGTAAGTATGTCTCAGTATGTGCTAATGTCCTAGTATAGATTAAATAATATAAGTGAAAACGCAGAGTTACTTGCTCTGCTTTAAGCTTTAGCTCAGCTATAGCTGCTTTTCTCACATCTCCGTCAGGAAACTTTTCTGCAAAAGTCTATTCGTCTCCAAATTTTTGATGTTCGTCTTAAATCTTTCTCTTTACATTTTCATTTGCTACCACTTAGACTAGACTATTGTTTGCGTTGCTGTGGTGACCAGCAGTCTGCGCACTGATCTTCAGGGTTAAAGGGTGAATTAGCAGTTCTACATTAACTCCAGCGTTTAAGACCATCTCCGGCAGGAAACTTTTCCACAAAAGTAGAGCAGTTTCTTGTAAAAAGTCTCTCAATGTTAGATTTTTTACAAGGCTGAAGTCGCTTCTCATTTACCAGCTTCATGTTCGAATTTTCCCGTTCCACCTTAAATGGTGCCTGAGGCGCCAGAATGTAACTGCTGCAAAATTTAAGGTGGAACAGGGGAATTCAAACAAGAAGCTGGCGAATGAGAAGCGACTTCAGCTTCTAGACTTTGTAGTGTCTTAGTGACAGTTTCTTGTTGCAGATTAAATGTATCAGGAAACCAGCTGGAGTGATCAGAAATGCAAATAAGTCAATTTGTCTCTAAAGTATCAATGTTTGTCTTAAATCTCTCTTTTAGCCATTTCGTTAGCTACTAGCTAGGCAAGACTGTTGTCTGTGTTGCTATGGTGACCAGCAGTCTGAGTGGCAACCTTCAGGGTTAAAGGGTGAATTAGCAGTTCTACATTAAGTCCAGCGTTTAAGACCCTTTATTGTTAAACTGTGTTGAACGATCAGCAGAGCTTTATTTTACTGTAAAGGAGGATTATTTTATTTTACCTAAAAATCTGATTCTGCTGTGGAGCCACAACAGTTGTTCTAAGGGTTTACCAGTGGTTGGAAATGGTTAGAATTAGTTTTGATGTATAGAACCACACAAACATAAGTGGCCCTCAGGTGGGGAAGAATAACATGCAAGAGAATGTAGGATGAGACCCTTTAATAAATGGATTTCATTTAAACAGGTGAACGCCGCAGCTGGAGGGAGAAACATTTATTTAGTAGGAGAGTCGGGTAAAACACTGCACGGCACGAAACGAGGACTTCCTGTACAAAAACCAAAAATATGATAAAACACACAAATCACCCCTTCTTTTGTACACCGGATGCATAGCACAGTTTTAGAAAACACTTTCCTTCATCCATCCATCCATCTTCTCTTCATCTATGTGGCTAAAGAGTCGCCCTTTGCACAGTTCTTGGCTCTTTGACTCTGCTGTCCTGCCTGTGGTTGGGAAGCATCTCCACACACACTTTCCTCATCTCTCCGCACCAGCTGGGGTCCTCCTCCTCCTCCTCCCCCTCTCTCCTCCTCTTCATCATCCTCCTCTTCCTCTCCGGCTTCTGTGTCCTGGCTGGCTGAGTCGGTGCAGGTGGACGAGAGGGAGGCCAGTTTGTGCCTGAGCTCAGCCTGCGTGGGAACCTGCAGTGTGATCTCAGTGGTGAAGGACTCCACATCTGGCCCTAACGCACACATCCAAGAAAGAAGAGAACGAAGAGTGGAACCCAAGACTTGAGAAGATAGTCTTTTTTACTTAACCTTTAATTTAACCAGGCAAGTCATTAAAGACTTTTCGCTTTTGTCGGAAGAAAACCTCGTATCTCCATTTTTGTCGATTTTTCACATTTTGACTTAATGTGAAAACGCCTGTTGCCCTTTACAGTGTGTGTAAATTTCATGATCATTGGACCAAAAGAAACGGCCGAAAATTACTTGGAAAAAAAGTCTGGTTCCATTGACTTACATTAAAAGCACAGTATGTTTTTCCCTCTCCTGTAAAGTTAGCTTTTTGGAAATATGAGGTTTTCTTCCAAGAACAGCAATTTGCTTATTTACAGTGACAGACTGTAAAGCACTGATGGTGAAGGGAGAGAGAAAAACGAAAGAGTGAAAAAATAACAGAAAAGCAAGAAACAGAACCGAATGACTTCATAGTCAATTACAACACACAAAAAAGACAAATGACAAGCAACACCAAACATTAACAATCGCAACAAAAAAAAGGCTCATCAGTTCAACATAAAAGTTACTTCATGTGGTCAGAAGTACATTAACTAGTTTAATTCAACCTAAATAAATACTTTGAATAAACGGTTCTTTTAATCAGTGTAATTTTCTGAGTTGAATAAAACTGGTTTAATTGCTTGTTGACGTCATTTTTTAGGTTGATGAGCCACTTTTTATAGTGTAAAACAGTCAGTTAATAGAGAAGTAGGTACACACTAAAAAAGGTGGTTCTTCAAGAGTTCTTTAGTAAAGAAAATGGTTCTATATAGAACCGTAAACACTGAAAGAACCCTTTGCATGATGAAAGCGTTCTTCAGGTTGCTATGGATCGTTCTAAACTGAACCTTTTTGAAAACGGTTCTTCTATTGTTACAAGCTTGACATCGTAACAACAAAAAAGAACTCTTTTTGGTGCTATATAGAACCCTTTTCAAAACGGTTCTGTTTAGAATGATCCATAGCAAATTCTCCATCAATCAGAAGAATGCTTTAATCATGCAAAGGGTTCTTTGAGTGTTTACGGTTCTATATAGAACCATTTTCTTTACTAAAGAACCCTTGAAGTATCCTCTTGAGTATACGTCTCAAAAAAATTGCCCTTTATATTATTATTAAAGCTGCACTATGTAAGTTTTGGGGATTTGGAGCCCTCTCTGGTGAAAATGTGTAATTGAACGCAACATGGAAGAAGTTTTAGTAATGTGGGAAGCCAAAATTAAGCAGTGCAGTGGTTTCAGGACTGGAGCTGAACTCTGAACTAACTGCACTAGCAAACTTACAGAATCATGTCAGCCGAAAAACAACGTCGTTTTCCAACCCACGACATTCAGTCTGATATTTAACGATTATGTTTCTCCATTCAAACATCATTTAAATCTCCAGAAACAGAGAGTAAAGTTCTCTTTCAAAGTAAGGAGAGTAATTTTAGCCGTCTTTCACCTCTAGTTAGTGCGGAGCAGCAAAGCCAGAAATTCGGTCCCAAATATGACGGCCGCAACAGAACAATCACGTGACTGAAACCCTAAGATATAAGCTGCAGTAGGCATTGTGTGTAGTAGCAGTCCGTGCTGGGACGGGTCAACGAGAGAATGGAGTCTGGTTCTCCTGAGGCTGCGATCTCTCCTGGCTAAGCCTGGATAATCCACAGAGCTGCAGAGAGATCTAGCCTTTCACTCCTGCCTAATGTAATTAGTGCTAATTGAAAAGCCTGTTTGTTCTCTCCAGCGTGCAGCTCAGCGAGCGTTTTCACTCTGGGCTGCAGTGAAGCCTCTGTAAATGTCACCTCTGATTTAAGAGCTGAGGATGAGGAGCAGCGGCCGTTGTGGGCCTCCAGGACCCCGAGTATGAGGGGATGTCTCTCAGCGGAGGCAGGCTCATCACAGACAGCATGTGTTTTTCATTCGCGTTTAATTGGAAAAATAGACCCGGGAGATGCAGCTCTGGACGGCTAACACAAGTAACACAGAGTTCGGTGTGTGGCTGCATGTAAGCTGTGTCAGCTTGAATTTGTGTAGCCACCTAAATAGACTTGTGGGTAAACTACATCATTTATGTACAGCACAGAGTGTTTTAGCTGGATTTTAAACTGTTTATCTGCTTTACTGTTATTTTACTTCAGTCTTATTCTTCTTATTATTATATTTTATTTTATTTTAATATTCTAAATTTATATGATTGTCGACGATCTTATTCTGGTATGAATCTGCAGTGTGTAGTTTTACAGTCTGACAGTAATAATTGTGGAGTGATTTTAATCCAGTATGAATCTGCAGTGTGTGTAGTTTTACAGTCTGACAGTAATAATTGTGGAGTGATTTTAATCCAGTATGAATCTGCAGTGTGTAGTTTTACAGTCTGACAGTAATAATTGTGGAGTGATTTTAATCCAGTATGAATCTGCAGTGTGTAGTTTTACAGTCTGACAGTAATAATTGTGGAGCGATTTTAATCCAATTCACTTCACATTATTGGAATAACAAAACCTGCTCATCACTGTGTGCCGTGTTGTTATTGTTATTGAGTGTGTTCTGTGTCACAGTGCTGATGTGGACATTCAGGCTGGATAATCTGTAGGAATTTGAGGAAATTACACAGATACTTTATTCCAAACCAGCTCCCTCACACATTACACTACACAGCCTCCTTCAGTGAAGCTGATCTGTAATGTGTAGAGCTGAGCTGTGATACTTGTAAGGTACAAATATATACCAACAAAGCTGAATATGTACCCAGCATAGGCGAAGCTGCGCTGTTGTCTTCTCCTCCTGAGTTGAGAAAAACATCCAGAGCCTCGTGGTCAGACATGTCCATCAGGTCCATCTGCTCCAGCATGTCCACATTCACCTCCATAGACGACATGCTTCCTATTGGCTCTGCAAAACCACAGGAGGAGTCATCACTTCTTGTTATTCTGTAATTATTACTGTATGTCCAGCCATCTATACTGTACAGCAAGGATTCAAGTCCAGGACAGGCTGTGGTGATGGTATACAATTTCATCCCTGTAGACACAGGAAGGCAAGGTTTGTTTGTCTTTTTTTAATGTAATATATTATACTATTAAAATAAATATTTTAAATATTAAATTACATATTTTAATATGTAAAGTATTAAAATCTCCATAGACACAGGAATTTTTTAATAATAATTTACAAAATAAAGTATAGTTTAATGATTTATTATTAAAGTATAGTACAGCATATCGTTGTACATTATTATTATTATATTTTTATTATTATTATATTTTATTACTTAAAGGGGTATTTTACAACAACAATAATTATTATTATTTTATTTTATTTAATTTTTTGATCCCCCCACCTGGACAAGCATCCTACATTATACCACTAAGAGTCCTTGGGCAAGACACCTAACACTGTATTCACCCACCTGAGTAAAAATGATCAAATTGCAAGTCATTTTGGATAAGAGTGTCTGCCAAATGCCATAAATTTATTATTATTATTATTATTATTATTATTATTATAGTTCTGCAAAGAAGGGTTTTTACAAGAAGACTTTGCACTATTTTTGTCCATTGAGTCTTTGTTTACCTTTGTATTACAGCACAGTAATTGCTGTTTTATCGCATCTTAATTGATCCATCCGTGATGGGTGATGACTAAGTGCACAGGTTGTTTTCTAGCTTACAGAGAAAACTACAGGCTGCTCAAAGTGAAATACATGATTAATACATTTTATTTTTTAGAAAGAGAAAGTGAGCAGAAAGAAATGGAGTAGCTCATGATGGCCCCTCTTATCTGACTAAAGGAGCAGCCTGGGGCTCTTTCAGGTCGATCTGATGCTTTTCAGTCACTCAGAGCAGCTCAAGGTCCTCACTGACTTGTTGCTATAGTAACATCACTGCCCTGCTGCAGGACTGGATGCAGAGCCAGAACTTAATGAGGAAACTTTTGTTAAGGGAAGCCTGAGTGGTTCTTTTTTTAATGGAAAGCCAGCAATTGTAGATGAATTTGACTATTTCAGTCTCCAGATGCCACCTGACAGTATAACAGACTCATTCCTGCCAGGGTGGTGTATCTAACCACAGGGTGATGTAGCGTTAGGCAGCAGCCAATAGTAAATAAAGCAGTCTTCCTTCAGAAACCTGTTTCTGAATTGAGCACATGCTCGTAAATAAATACTTTGCATGAACGATTCTTTCAATCAGTGTCATTTTTTGAGTTGAATAAAACTGGTTTATTTGCTTTGTTACTACATGAAGTAATTTTTTAGGTTGATCTGATGAGCCACCTTTTACAACCTAACACAATCAGTTTATAGAGAGGTAGGGACAGACTTAAAGATGGTTCTGTCAGGGGTCTTTAGTAAAGAAAATGGTTCTATATAGAACTGTGAACACTTTGCATGATTGAAGGGTTCTTTGCGTCCTGAAAGTGTTCTTCAGATTGATGGAGAACATTCTATAGGTGGTTCTATATAGCACCCAAAAGGGTTCGTCAAGCTTGACATTGTAACAGTAAAAGAACCTCCATACAGTCTTTCGTTAATGTATTGTAGGCTTGTGGGTCAGGATTTTAGCTGGAGTGGACGCTTTTAACTTTTTTTACTATTTTGAAAAATTATTATAGTAAACATTTTAAAAGGCTCTAAATCTGAATCGTCCTAGTTATAATTTGAGTGTCCGGGTCACATGATTTTCACATTTTCTCTCACTCCAAGGGGGTTTGATTAGAAATCAGGAATAAAAATCTACCTTCTGAGCTCCACGTGGCACAGAAAATCAGGTCAACACGACTACACTGTCCTCTCTGAAACCAGACTTTATTTCAGTGTTTACTTTTTGATAGTATCCATATTTCAGTGATGAATAAGGAAACATACGTAGACTGACATAGATCGATTTCAATCTATGTCCCAGCTAATGAGTTTTGTGTGGGTTTCTGAATCTCCATAATGTTAGAAAAGTGTCGAGTCAGCTACGAGGAAAAAAAAGCAATAGAAAAGTGCCCATTAAATGGCAATCCAGTCAAACTAAAGTGAACTGGATGGTCCTGAATATTTACAACACAGTGCATTATCTGCTGCTGGAGGTATTTAATGCACTCCTAAATGTCTGAGTAAAGCCATGTTTATTCATAGTGGCAGTCAAATTTGCATTGACCCCACACTGGGAAAAACAGCTTGTTCTTGCACTTTCTTTTTAGCTTTTGATATAATTACAGGAGTATGCGAGAGTTTTTCAACCTGCCACATCTACATTTAATGATCAATTACCTTATACCAGGGGTCAGCAACCCAAATGAAAACCCGTTTTGTCCTTTCAGCAAAAAAAACAAACCACCTTGGGAGCCACAAGATTTTATATCCATTTTACCATCTTGGCTGTGCATATGTCTCAGTATGTGCTAATGTTAGTGTAATGTGTAATGTTGAATGCGACGTAATGTAAGGCTAAAAAATATAATATAAATGAAAACATAAACTTACTTTGCTCTGCTTTGAGCTTTAGCTCAGCTATAGCTGCTTTTCTTGCATCTCCGGCAGGAAACTTTTCCAAAAGTATAACAGTTTCTTGTGAATTGTCTCTCAAAGTTCGACTTTTTACGAGGCTGAAGTCGCTTCTCATTCACCAGCTTCTTGTTCTAATTTTCCCGTTCCACCTTAAATGGTGCAGCGTTGCAGATTAAACATATCAGGAAACCAGCTGGAGTGCTTATAAATGCAAATATGTCCATTCATCTCTAAATTAGCAATATTCGTCTTAAATCTTTCTCTTTGCCGTTTTGTTAGCTACTATCTAGGCAAGACTGTTGTCTGTGTTGCTATGGTAACCAGCATCCAACCTTCAGGGTTAAAGGGTGAATTAGCGGTTCTACATTAACTCCCGTGTTTAAGATCATTTATTGTTAAACTGTGTTGAACGATCAGCAGAGCTTTATTTTACTGCAAAGGAGGATTATTTTATTTTACCTACAAATCTAATTCTGGGCAGTAAAAGAGCCACATGCAGCTCCGGAGCCCCATGTTGCTGACCCCTGGCATATACAATCATTTAAGACACAACAGAAGCCAGGTGTTGAGGTGTTGAAGTTCAGGTGTTGAAGCAACTGCCCTTTGGTTTCTAATATATATATATATATATATATATATGTATATGTTTTTTATATGCTTCTCTGTGTTTGGAGAAATACATCAAAGTTATTGTTGATGGTAATCAGTCATATGATACAGGCATGGCAGGTCAGGTTGAAAAACACTAGCTGATTCCTTTAAGATCATTTATTTAAAGATCCACATTTGTAACGTTGCAGACTGGTAATGTTTAATGTTATGGCTTATATTGAATTACAGCACTGATATGTATTTTATGTCAATACAAAGTAAATGTGTGTTAACTAAAGTGTGCAGAGTCCTGGATTCATCACCTTGCTGTGGTTTCTGTGTCATGCTGTTAGTGCATGCATCACATTCACAGGGTACAGCTGAGAAAGTCTCTAGTGTGCATGTACAGTTCTGTGCAGAAGTCAGAGACCACCTTTCATTATTTAATTTACAGCCGAGACAGCCATTAAAGACAAGTTATTCATTTCAGCTTCAGGAAAAAATTACATAAAGTCTCAACAATAAAAACCTAATTTTGCAGTGTTTAGTGAGTCACTCTTTACCTTTATTCCAGCTTCTGTTCTTTTCAGTTTCTCAAAGAAATCTGTAAAGTTCAGTCTTAGAAGCTGGTTGATCATTTTCTGAAGTAATCAAACACATTCAGTGGTGTTGAGGTCTGGACTCTGGGGCGGTCAGTCCATTGTTCAGCTTCTTTGTTTGATGTGTCCGTCTCCTTTTCTCAGTGAGGTTCTTCTTGAACAGCTACACATCCTTTCAGACCCACAGCGCTGAGTCGTCTTCTCTCAGTGGAAGGATGGACAGAAACACCTGTGGATGTTTTCAGATCTGAAGCAGCTTGATTTTCTCCTCTCTCTCAGAGATGAAAGCTTTAAGTGCTGTTTATCTTTTTAGTGCTGATGGGGGCAGTGTTGGTGTCTACCAGGTCTTCCAGGTGGTTGTTAGGAGCCCCATTTTCTCTGTAGCTTTTAATTATTTTTGAAACTCCTGTTTTGGAAACTCCTGTCTCCTTCTTTATACAAGTGGATTATCTAATATCTAATCCGTTCAGAAGCATCTCCTGAAAAATGAATAACTTGTATTTTGTGACTGTTTTGACTGGAAGTTTAGAAAATAAAGGGTGGTCTCTGCACAGTGCTGTATGTATGTGCGTGTATGTGTGAGACGGAGACGGCGTTAGTCGGAGCGGAGAGGTGCATACCTCAGGGATGAGTTAGATCAGAGCAGCAGGGAGGGGGAGAGGACAGAGAGAGGGGTGAGTTAGCTCCCTTTACTCAACCACACACTCTCAGCTCACTACTCACTATCCACACACAGCTCACACACTGTTCACAATCAATAGGCAGCTGATCATGCTGGCACACTGGCTTTACATTTCCGCTTTATTAGAAACTCCTCTTTTGTAGCTCCATCTTGCTCATCTGTTGATGCTGTTTCTAAACATTTGAGGGCCCTAAGAGGAATCCTCCCACCCCATGTAGTGGACGTGTAAGGTAGGTGGAGCTCATAAAGTGAGGGACAGTACAAAGGAAGTGTTTCTAATAAAGTGTATGGAGATTGTACACACACACACACACACACACACACATATATATATATATATTTATATATACATACACATACATACATACATATATATATACACACACACACACACACACACACACACACACACACACATATATATATATATTTATATATACATACACATACATACATACATATATATATACACACACACACACACACACACACACACACACACACACACATATATATATATATATATATATATATATATATATTTATATATACATACACATACATACATACATATATATACACACACACACACACACACACACACACACACACACACACATATATATATATATATATATATATATATATATATAGCTGCTGCTTTCGGAAGAAAACCTCGCATCTGCATTTTTGTCATTGTTCATGATGAATGGACCAAAAGAAATGACCCAAAATTACTTGGAAAAAAATCTGACTTACAGTAAAAGTAAAGTAGCTTTTTTCCTTCTCCTGTAAAGTTACCATGAGGTTTTCTTCTGACAACAGTGAGATATATGTATATCTCCTTTTATTCTCCATAAGTCATTTCCATGTAGGGCTGAAAGATTAATCTTTTTTATATTCAAATTGAAATGTAAAATTATAGTCTACATTATAAAAAACATTTCTGCTAAATGCATTACTGCTAATGCTGTGTTTACACTGTTTTACTACCTCAGTAACTGCTGTGCTCACATATGTTATCTGACTGTGTAAACTCACAGATCACAGTATGTTAAATACCTCTGCACCTTATTCCACTACCTCATGCTCAGAAATGAGTGCTGTGTCGGCGCTGCACTGTCCTGTCTGTTTACTGTGCCTAATGTCTGTTTTATTTATCGTATTTATTGTATTGTTTCCAGCTTAATTTTTTGTTTGCACACTCACGTCTGCACATTCGCACTTTGTACTGTCTATTTTGTTCCTTGTTGCACCGTGTTGTTCCTTGGAGGAACGTAATTTCACTCCACTGTGTATTTGTACATAGATGGAATGACAATAAAAGCCTCTTGACTTGACTTGATGTCTTAATTTTCAGTGGGGATTAGACTTAATAACACAGAGATTGTGAACTGCGTGTAGATGAGTTAGACCAATCAGAGGCAACCAAACCTCCATGTTTTGTGACATCACAACCACAACTTACTGGCACACTACATTCAAGATTCAAGCTCCAGCCAGAAAAGGTGGATATTCTAACCTTCCTGGCCAAAAAATAAAAAACAGGCCTGAAGTTTATAGAAAATAATCTCAAATCGCAGTTAGATATTATCCCTGAATCGTTCAGCCCTATTTCCATGTGTGTTATTTTGCTAAATAGATTTTCCCTGATTTGTGAGAATTTCACTTCAGCAGCTCTGTGAGGGACCTCATAACCCATCCTTCCTGTCAGAAAAGCAAATAGGTTGCCATATCCTTTATTATGCCATTTTTGGTTGTCTGCCAGTCCAGTATGACATGTTCAGCCTCTCTTAATGCATTCTTCATCCATCTGTGTATCTCCAACAAGCCATTTTAAACAAGTCAGGGGGAAGAGATGGAGGAAATGACATTCAGTACACAGAGAGCAGCTCTGTGTTATTGACTGTGTGCTGAGCTCCAGGCAAACTCATTCAGAGTAACGGCAGTTAAGAGGCTTCAAAAGCACTCTCCCAAGAACCATCTGCCTGGAATATAATGGAGGTTTATATAGGCTTACACAAATAGTTCATTTACAGAATGATCTAATGCAGTGTTTCCTAAACTAGTCCTCAGGGAACTCCAGATGCTTCACATGTTCACTCTACCCCAGCTCCCAGTACACCTTCGCCAAGTAATCAGGCTGTCTGCAGCCTTTAACTACCAAGTTCAGTGTGTCAGTTCTGCAGGACTGATTGATAAACTCTGATAAATGTGTTTTTCAGCCCATCTGATGTATTAGTGTACTACAGAAGTGTGAAGCTAATGTACCAGAGGACCACAGCCCTGAAAAACAAAGAAAATAAAAAGAAAATGAGAAAAAAAGTTTTTTTCTCTTCTCTAGCCCTGTTTGTGCTGGGTTAGTTCAGCCATTGGATTTTAACCCAGTATGAATCTGCAGTGTGTGTAGTTTTACAGTCTGACAGTAATAATTGTGGAGTGATTTTAATCCAGTATGAATCTGCAGTGTGTGTAGTTTTACAGTCTGACAGTAATAATTGTGGAGTGATTTTAATCCAGTATGAATTCACAGTCTGACTGTAATAATTGAGTGTATGTCTTTCTGTTACAGGCTGAAACTGGAGCTCTCTTGGTGATATTAGTCCTGCTCCAGTTCACCTCACACTAATGGAATAATAAAACCTGCTAACAGACACAGCTGAGCAGCATGTTGTTATTGTTACTGAGTGTGTCTTGTTGAGCAACGCTGACGTGATCATCCTGGCTACGACCTTTCAATCTGGGATATCTGTGGGACTTTGTGGAAATTACACAGAAAACAATTCCTGTGACATTCAGCCAGTCCAATTATTAACACATTACTCTACAGAACCTCCTCTGGTGAAGGTAATGAGGTAGAATGGTACACTCTACAGGACTGCGGCCCACCAGGCTGACACCCCCACAGAGGAGTAGTAGCTGTTTATGATCTTTAGCATGTTGTGTCTCTCTGTCAGGCCTAAATGCTCTGCTCTTCACCTCTCCTCTCGGCGATCTGCAGGTATCCTGTGGACAGGTAGTGCTCCATGTCCTGCTGAAACGCCTCCTCAAAAAACTTCTGCCTGTCCTTCCACTTCACCTGCTGCTGCTGACCAGCCTCCGCTTCAGGGACCCTCTGAGCGTCCAGCTCCGCTGTGATTGGACGAAAGAAGAACAAAAGCAGGAGGTCAAATAAACACAGTCTGTGTTGGTGAACACTGGACGGTACTCGTAAATTTGTAAAATCATGAGTTTCTTAGTTTTCCAAAAGGAATCTGCAGCCAATTGGCTGAACAGGATATTAAGCCCTGAATCCCAGGCTTATTATGTACTAAACCTTATTATTCAGTAGCTACAGGGACTTCAGTGCAAACTGGCTGAGCTGTTTTTAGGTTACAAAAGTGTGTAATAGAACTTTGGGCCCACCGGCAGCTTTTTAAGTGGTTAAAGAGAAGTGACAAGTTCCAGGTTACCAGAGTTTACAAGCTCAGACTCTTAGGGACTCTAAGCAGCAACAGCTGTAGGGTTGTCACAAAGCGACACCTCTAGCATGACAGTGAATGGAGTGTTTGGCAGTCTTTACTCACTAAAGAACTACAAAGCACTTATAAAATAAGAGGAAAGTCATTGGCAGCTCAATGCTGGCTTACTGTCACCACTTTGCACTACTGACACCTCTGGTGTTAATATGAATGGACAACACTTCTTCAGGAAAAATGCAGTAAACTTTTTTTTTAAGTGTAAATAAAGTCCTGATTCAATACTCAATAAAAATGTAAAATTAACTCACTTAAGTTGTTTTAGTGACTATGCCAAAACTTTTCATTGCTGTCTAAAAGAAAGCATGTATCTACATTTCTTTTCATTTTTATTTCTCTACATCAGCTGCTATTTGCATTGTGTCAAAATTTCATGATGAACGGACCAATCAAAATGGTTCAAAATGACTTGGAAAAAAATCTCATTATATGAACTTACTTTGAGAGTAAAGACTGTTTTTTTCCCGTCCTGTAAAAGCGTTTATTTATTTATTTATTTACTTAAGAGTCCTGATGACACCAGTGACCTAAATCTCTGACAAATGATTTTTTAAAAATAAAATGCATATTTTTAAATGTAGTATAACATTAACGATATAAAAAGTAAACATGATTCTGTTTTATACAAATTCCAAAAAGTTAAACCTCTTAAAAATTGTGTGTCATATTAAAAATCGTTTCTCAAAAGTGTTATTTAATCTTAGGTCAACTGTGTAAATGTACCTACTGACTTTTGGAGCTGTGCCTGATATATTAAGCATCTTTTAAAGCCCTGCAACCCTATGTGACGTGGTTTCCCCTCCAAATGGAGAATGACCCTAATACATCATCAAATATTTGAAATATAGATTTTTAAGCACGTATCTGTGGATACTGGTACAGTTCCAGTATCATAGTGCATCTCCACTAGTTTCCATACTGTCGGCCTGCTGCGTTTCTGCCCTGCTATCTGTCACATTATGCACAGCTCACATTCACCACACATACGTTTCTCAGAGTGCAGTGGACTTTAATAAGACATAAACAGCTGTCAGTGAAATAAAACTGCTCACCCTATTCCAACAATAACAGCCCTGACCACACCGACTCGCTCAGTTCACCTCAAACAGTTTGCAGCTTTGAACAATCGAGAGCAAACATTCATCCAGCCTGAGAGAGGCGGGGGGGTCAGTCCGCACTGAACCAGCACTAAACACTGCCCGGCTATTGTGAACTACACTTAAATCAAGACAGACATGCCTCTGCACACACACACATGTGCACACAAACAGAGCCTGGCTGAAGATGTGATTGGTCAGGACAGGGCAGTAAGCAGCTGCCTGGACCGTCCAGCATTCGTCTTTTCTTCAGCTCCGGGCTGTTCGTGTTGGATGAGTATTTTCAGAGGCAGAGAGACGTGCTGTTCACTCCTCTCTCTGCCTGCAGCTTGTTTCAGTTACAATGCTCAGGCTTTACTCAAGCTCTTCTGTGGTGTTCTTTGAGTTTTCATGGCTATGGTTGAGTATTTTTCCAGTAAAAGTTCTGTCTCACAGATAGAGGGTCTACATGGCATCCAGTGGTGTCCAAAATCATTCAGAGTGGTTCGGTGTGAAATGTGCCTTTCAAGAGACATTTACAGAGTCAGAATTGGTCACCATTATAGCACTAGGAACCAGATGTCTGAAGCATTTGATGGCTCTAAAAGCTGCATCCTGTTAGATTATTACACCAAGTGGTTATGAATGTGTTGCTTGATACCTGAGATATTGTTTTGTGATAGTTTTGTTAGAAAGTTTTGGCCTAAAATGTATTTTTACTATAAACTATTACTCCAGGATTATTATTATCCTGTCCAAACTGCATCTCAACTGAGATCAATGCGCAAGCTAACATGCTTTTGTAGTTACTAGCCTGTAGCTACAGCTGTTCAACACGGCTAAGGCCGGTGTTGTATCCGATTCAGATCTCCCTCAAATTCACATTCCCTTTGACTAATCAGGTCCTCGGGCGGCGCATTCACTGAACAGTTAACAACGCCAAACAACGCTGGAAGTACGGAAAGCGAAAACGTTCAAAAAAGGTTTGTACGTCAGCTGTATTCACCCAATCAGTGAAGAACAGTACAAAAAGTGCTCTTCAGTACGTTTGTTTACTGTTTACTCGAGTTGAAAATAATTTTTATCACGGAATCTTAATTATGCCACGTTATCTTAAGTGAATTTATGTTGGGGATTGGGTGAAAACCGTTCAATCTTTTTTTGAACCTTTTCACTCTCCGTAGTTCCAGTGTTGCTTCGTGTTGTTTTCTGTTCAGTGAATTTGGTGCCCGAGGACCTGATTTCTCAAAGGGAACGTGAATTTGAGGGGAACTGAATCAGATACAACACCAGCAGCAGTACATTTTTAACAGTTTTCTTACCTATTTTTGGAAAATGGCAAAGTGTGTGGAGGACATCGATAAGGCCTGTTTCCAAAACGTCGTAGAGCCAAATTGATTTGAAACAGATCACACAAATGAGTTGCAGCGGCTTGAAGAAGAGAGAGGAAGAGAGGAAGAGAGAGAGAGAGAGAGAGAGAGAGAGAGAGAGAGACTGAACCCGAACCCGTCGGCGCCGAAGCAGAAGACTCCAGGGTGAATGGAAATTGACGGTGTCAAAAACAAACTACTTGCTACTCTGCTCACCAGTTTATGAGGTAGGACAGCGAGGAGCAACTGTGATCTATTGCAGCTCCTCTGACGAATAAGTTACTCACATAAACTCTGAGTTTTGTTGACACCATGTGATGCAATGCCACCAACCCGTACAACACAAAACGCCTGCATTGTGGAGAGGTGCATACAGGGCATTGTAAGAAAAAAATAGTACCCAAAGAAAACTTTTTTTAATTTAGCGCTATTTTACCATCATCAGCGTGATATATAAAACCTTATAAGACACATGTAAGTTCACTGGTCCTTTTGGATAGCAGATAAAGTGGTGATATTTGTAGTGTAGACATAAGGACGTCTGGTTTCTAGTACTACAATGGTGAACGATTCTGACTTGGTAGATTTCTCTAGAAAGATGCATTTCACACCAAACCACTCTGAATGATTTTGTTTACATCTAAATGGTTGAATGATTAATTTTGCAAAACCGGTGGACTTCCCCTTTAAATGTACAGCAGACAAAATAAGGAACATTTCAAACTTTAAAAGTTGGAAAATTGGAAGTTTGGAAGCTAGTTTGGCTAAAAATAAACCAGCACCATTGTCTTCTTACTTCAAATCAGCAGCACAGACAGAAACACATTTTTAGGTGGGCCTGTGAAAAAGTGGGTAGGCCAGTTTGGTAGATACCATTTCCAAATACGCTAATGTCCCACAATGTCATCACATCACGCTCTAGCCTATTACAGACAGCTGTGCAGTCGTCACCCTACCTGCTCTGACTCTTCAACCCTATAGAGACAGAAAACAGCAGCAATGAGCCAGAATGCAGGATTAACACACACAACCAGCACTGCAGCACCGTCAGTAAAGCGCTCACTCAGTCAGCACAGGCAGGTTTACACAGTGAAGAGTGAAAAAAGAGTGAGAGAGAGAACAAAAAGAGAAAGAAGAGAGACAGAGAAAGAGAAAGAGATAGAAGAGTGGGAGAGACATAAAGAAGGGGAGAGAGGGACAGATAGAGAGAGGAGGGGAGAGAGAGTGAAGAGAGAGAGAGACAGAGAGAGAAAGAAGGGGGAGAAAGAGAGAGAGAGAAGAGTGGGAGAGACATAAAGAAGGGGGGAGAGAGAGAGGAGGGGAGAGAGACAGAGAGAGAGAGGGGGGAAAGAAGAGTGGGAGAGAGAGATACAGAGAGAGGGGAAGAAAGAAAAGAGGAAGAGAGAGACAGAGATGAGTGAGAGAAAGAAGAAAGAGATAGAGAGAGATAGGAAAGAGAATGAAGAGGGAAAGAGAGAGGTAGAAAGAGGGACAGACAGAGAGAGAGACTTTGATTTTATAAAGCCTTTATTAAACCCTCTATCAAAGCATTATGTTAAATACATGATCTACACATTAAAGAGACAGAAAAAAGAGAGGGGAGTGGAGGGGGTAGTGGGGGGTGGGGGGTGGAGGGGGGGCAGATTTCAGTAAGTAAAAATTCACCAATGAAAGAGAAACACTGCTGTATCATCCACAGACACTAATCCTCCATCAACACACCAAACCAGAAACACTCTGAGCTCTGACAGAACACAAATTACACTCTTCCTCATGATTCACTAACTCCTGAAACGTCTGTGGAACCAGACTAATAGACTTCCACATGGCTAATTCTGCTTGTCCCATTAATACATTTACCAAACTGCATTTGGGGCAACGTAGGGCATCATACAGCATAAGATCCCTCACTGGAGGTCTGCAGAGAGACCACCGTACAGGAGCCTCCACGAAGGCCGCATGTCCTGAGGAGCAGATGATAGGTAGACTCAGCCCTTCCTTTTAGCTCGAAAAAGGGATGTTAGGGAAAAAGCTGGTGAGAGGGTTTTGTACCAGAGCTGTAAAACCTTCAGCAGAGTGATGTCCCGTCCAGTTTCTGTCCTCAAGAACACTCAGAGTAATGCACAACTCTAGAAATGGCACAGAAGCCAGCCCAGCAGGTAAAACAC